TAATTGAAATCTTACAGGTTGACCTTGTGATTCAACACACCTGCTGTGTGACGTTATGCTGAACTATGAACTCTCGTGGGCCAGATCACTTGAGATCTCTGAAGGAGAAACTCGCATGCTGCATCGTGCTAGATTTAAAAATTTTACATATACTTTCCATGTATCTGCTAATATTATGTAGGTTTTTTTCTTCCCTTTAAAATATGTTTTATGCATAGAAGTATTGATCATTTTGGATTAATGTTTCTTGAAGGATTGCAAGTGAAAGAAAGATCACCTAGTGGGCCTGGCAAAGCACCCACCGAGAACAATGCAAACACCTTTTTAATGATTTAACTTCATTAACTGAATTTGAAATAACACATTTTTAGGTGCCACCATAACGTGGGGCCATAAGTTCCATTTGAACTGAAATTTAAGAGATTTTGCTTTAAGCAAAAAAGGATCTCGAAAAAATTAAAAAGAAATGAACAGCTTTAACAGCATTAGTCATGAAACTAATAAATAAGCTAGAAACAGAAATTGCTAATAAGGGCAATAAATGTGTAGTTGAAGAAATGGTTGTGCAGTTAATTAGTAAAGAACTAATCTTACTGGATAAAGATATTGAAAGTTTAATTGATGTAAAGAGTTTAGAAGATTAAATAATTTTTACAGAAGAGTATAAAGATAAAATTATTGTTTGGAAATTATGTACGAAACGATATTTCGATATTAAGTCACACAGCACTAGTTCTACTTCATGTGGTACTGTCATTGAATCACAAAAAAAAAAAAAAAAAAATTAAACTCCCAAAATTTTGGGTTTGGGGTATGATTTGAGATGGCTGTACACAAAAATGAAAGTCTAAATGCAGTAGATAAACTTAATTATTTAAAGTCAATTCTTATTTCCGATGCCAAAACTGCAAAACAAGGATTAACATTAACAGCAGAAAATTACAAGGCTGTGAAAACATTAAAAGATTGCTTCGGTCACAAGGATCTAATAACAGATTCACACATGAATAATTTGTTAACTCTGACTAAAGAAGTCTTGCGATATGTCAGCCAACTGTTATAGTGTCGCACATAAAAAGATTTTTATTTATTTATTTTTCTCCCAACAAAAAAGAAAACCGCAAAAATTTATTGATTTGTTTTTTTTCTTTGCACAAAATGTCTTTATTGTAGAAAGAAGTTACGAGATCAAGTGGCTGTTTTAAAAAATATTATGAAACTGTGGTTGTTTTATTCTATTTTGGATTATCTCATATTTTGTATTGTTGAATTGCTTTTCACATAAATGATTCACTCTTTAAAAACTGCATTTAAAAGAAAATTTTAGCAGTTTTAAAATTAGTAAAATTAACTAAATTAATTATGACAAGCCTCAATTAGAGAGTTCATACTTTAACTAAAGGGAAAATTTAAGGAAGTATTAATAAAAAATAAGGTTTTCTTTATTGAATTTTTAAAGATTGAGGTTTATTTAAAATCAAACAGTGGCTTTTATGGGACATTAGAAAAGGCGGATTTGTCAGTTTTAGCTGCTGAATTAGAAATTCAAGTGGATCTAAGTATGAAAATTGTAGCAATACAAAATAAAATAGTTCAGAGTGACACATATGATGAAGCATTTGCTAAAGAAATTTTTTTAATGATTGTTGAACAGAGAAAAAGAAGAAACAGAAGAACTGTGAAAGAATGAAGAGATTGAGGAAGAGAGAAGGAAAGAAAAGATTGAAGAACGGCAGAGGAAAAAAGAAATAGAAGAAACGCAGAGAATAGAGGAATTAGAAGCACAACATAAAAGAGAGCAAATGGAATTTGAATTGAAGAAAGTTGAAATTGAATCTCGTACTCGATTAACATAAACTCCATAGATAAATGAAAATGGACAACATAATTCCGATTTAAATAAGCTTGTTCCTAAGTTCAAATTAAGAGACAATGATATCATTATTTGTTTATCCTTATTTGAAAGACAACCTAAAAGAACAAGACGATCCTAAAAACTGGATCTCATGTTTATTGACTTTATAGCCATCTGAAATCATTCAACTAATTGACAGAGAATCTGAAGAAAATTTTGAAGATTATGAGTCCATTAAGGCCATCTTATTGAACAGATTTAAATTAAATCCTGAAAGCTTTAGAAGAAAGTTTGTGATGCACCAAAAGAGCGCTGAAAAAGCATAGAGAGATTTTTGCTATGAAATTACAAGTTATTTTGAAGAATGGATCATTGGCCTTGAAATCAGAATTTGTCATGTTAAAAGACCTCATTATCACAGACCAAATTAAGAAAAAAGTGCCTTATGAAGTGAGAGACCATATTCTTGACTATTGAGTGAAGTTTGTTTCTCCAACCAAATTAGCTGATAAACTTCATGAAAATGACAGAGTTTGTAATGCTTCAAAAAAGACTGGTGCTGGTCTGCCAAATGACAAATTTAATGAGAAGTGGCAATCTCGTTCTCCACTTCCAGGAAGGGATTTCAAAAACAAATCATTCTCCATTCAGAACATGCCAAGAGTATACCCATCCCGTAAGAATGGCGAGCCACATAAGCCAATTTCCACGATAACTTGCTATAATTGTGAGAAAGAAGGTCATGCATCTAAATTCTACACCAAAAATCAGATATCGAGCAATACTCCCACAAAAAAGCAAAACAACTTAATCCAAATACAAGCACGCATTGCAGAAAAGAAAAAAACAGAAGTGCTAACTCCCAAGATCTCTATAGTCTCAAAATCCGTGACGTATCTAGAAACATAGATGATTTGAAACCTGTCAAAGATAAATGTGGAGATATTGTTCTAAATGGTATCATAGACATGGGATCACAAATTTCAGTAGTCCATGAGAGATTGGTTGACAACATACCTTGCGAAGAAGAAAATAAAATAGAGATTTCCACTTTTGGTGAAAACGAAATTACTCCAATGAAAATTTTCCAGATGAAAATTGACAATCTTCATGGTAGTGTGCCCATTCTGTTTTAAAAAAGCTAGTTACCAACTTGTTACTGAGTTTTTCAGCTAGTGAAATGCTCTGCAAAAATACTGAACTGTGTCACAGTGATCGTTAATGGGATGCACCTTCTTTACAGTGCGAAGAATCAGACAACGAACCCTCCCCAGCTGAAGGCAATACTTCAAATTTAGCTGTTGTTAATCAGATTTCCCATGGACACATAGAAACTGTGAAAACAACAAACAGAAAAAACTAGAATTTAGAGCACTTCAAGAACAAGATGAGACTCTGAAAAAGTTTTTGAATGGGTGAATAAGAATGATAATTCATATGCTTTTAATAATGGCATATTATTTCACTCTGAATATATCTGTGGTTAAAAGATCAAGCAAGCTGTGTTACCTTTAGAAAACAGAAAGGAAGTTCTGAGAATGACATATGAAATCCCTCTCGATGGACACCTCTGTGAGAAAAAGATAATTCGATGAATCAAGTACTCATTTTTTGGCCTCCTATTAAGAAAGACGTTAAAAAGTTTTGCAGAAAATGTTAAAAGTTGCCTGCACTCTTGCACATGTGTGAGTCAACAGGCCTATGGGCTATTCTGTACTTTCATTATTCGAAGGATGGAGTCATTCACACAAGCTTCATAGCAGTTCATTGCAAATTTTCATGGTTCATAGTGAGAAGAGATTTGTGCCAAATAGTACATACAGACAATGAAAAAAACTTTTAAAAGAGTGAAAAAAAAGGATTAGATTTATTGATCCAGGTGATGAAAGACAATAAAGTTCATGACAAGTTCTCTAAACAATCAAAGGGATCAAATGGAAATTTGTAATTAAGAGAGCAGCTTAGTGGGGAGGATTCTGCAAGTGTATGGTTGAGTCTCTGAAAACCCTAACCCTACGCAATAATCCTAGACATTCAGGGAACTAGAGATAGTCAACAGAAGTGGAAGCTATACTGAACTCCAGACCTTTAACAATAGTTATACATTCAGATCTAGGAGAACAAGAATCTGACTCTTCAGGAAAAATATCGAAAAGGCCAACCAAAAATCAGTCATATCTCTATATCTCTCTACATTTCCGGTGTTCATGATGAATTTCTTCCTGCAGGGCAAACAGTGAATGGTGCCTTCTATGTGGAGGTTTTCAAGCACTTGAGAGATTGTGTGCATTGAGTGTAATCAAAATTTGTGTGGATGGATGGCTGCTGCATTATGACAATACGCTTACACATTCACCAGCGATTGTCTCATGCCAGACCGTACCCATATCTGCAGCAGGTCTCCAAGGTGAACAGCCTCTAGTCGATAGAACAATGTCAGTAAGGGAAGTCAGCAAGTTTGATCCATAACTTCGGGACAAGGATTGGCTCCAGCCGACTAGAGGCTGTTCACCTTGGAGACCTGCTGCGGATATGGGTACGGTCTGGCACAAAAATCATAATCTCTCCCTGCATGAGTTTCTGAACCAAAATTTTTTATCACAATGCCATATCATCCTCCCTATTCACCACTCTTATCCCATGGATTTTGTTTGTTTATTTCTGAAATATAAAATGGTCATCGGGGTGGCACTGTGATGACATGGAGATGATAAAACATGAAAAGGTACATGAAGTGCCAGATTTCTGAAAAGCCTTCCAGGGATATGCTCAACAATCGACATAGCATGCATTACTACAAATGGGTAGTATTTTGAAGGGGATAAGACTGCTGTATGAAGATTTTGTAAAATATACTGCTTATGATATCAGTTCATGTATTTATTCGACAGACTACATACAGCTGTGTCATTGATATTATATCCAGAATACATTTTAATACAAACTCTGATATTAAATTTCTTTAAAAAAGAGCTTCTTAGCTGTATTTTACATAAAGCTTCCAAAATTACCCATTAATACTAAAAAGATTTCAACAGCTTTAATTTAGAATGCTATTTAGGAGACTTTTTAATAATAAAAGCATTAAAATTTATAGAGCATAGTATTAAAAAATAAAAAGTTCCTAATAGTTAAAAAAAATCACCTCTAAATTAGAAATAATTTTTTCTTTTTCTAGTAGCTGTGCTTTCAGAGAGACTACATCCAAATGTGAATATGCATTCTTCTTTGGATCTAATGTCTTAATAACCTGGGGAGAGAAAATAATTATCATAGTATTTTCTTAATAATGAGGATGTGAATGAAAAACTATGCTAAAGACAAAACAAAAGAAGTTATTTTTATTACCATACATTAGTAATGCTTAATAAATCCATTTCTCAATTTGAGAACAAAATAATACATTACGGATCATGATTACATAATAGTTATGCAGGGTATTTGAAAACGATTTATGACTAGTTCTAAACATATGGTTTCAGTTTAGGAAATGAATTAAATTGGACCTTTCTCACAGACAATTTTTGGCATATGACATCTGTGAGTAAAAATGTGAGTAAAAACCCAAGATCAACATAATTTTAAGATTTAATTATGCCTTCTCAATTGACAGTATTAAGTTGTCCCTTCCTTTGCCCAAAAATATCTACAGAACAGTTCTTACAAAATTAACATTAAAAAAATTTATACGACTTCAGAATTATTATACGATTTCTTAAAATTCAAATAATGGATATTTCAGGTACTTTTTATCATATAAGATTTTGTGTTTTTTCTATTTTACTCATAATGCTGAGAACAATAATTTTCTTGATCACTTTTAGAGCATGAGACCCCTATGAAAATTTAAGTTTTATATGTTTTTGCTAAAATATATCCCACAATCAAAACAGCTGTTGTCTGCATTTTAGAGTGTAATTCTTTCAAGGAAATTTTCAAGCAACTTCAATGCAGCATTTAACTATTTATTAACATCTTCACTCTCTTAGTTAAAAAAACACAAAGGAAGTACTTCTGAAGACACACATGCTTACAAATACATGAAGAGCAATAAATTAATATAAATAACTGAACCTTAAAAATACCAATATGCTCATTCAGCATAGATGAGGTTAATGTTCAGTTACAAGAATAATATAATTGCTGGTTGCATTCTGGTTAGTTTTAAACTTAACACTCATTCCATGCCTAATTTTTCACAGCTTTGTTAAAAATAAATTAACATAAGAAACGTTTACTGCCAGCAAGCAAACTGAAGCATTATATGAAGTCCTAGAAGTTTGGATTATTTACAGGGACATTTTAATATGAAATTATATGAATATTTATGCATCCAAAGCCTAACTTGTATCTCTCTCAAGTAAATAATAAAATGAGTCTAAAATTCTTATGCAGTTGCAATTGATTCACGGAATCAACTACAGTTTTGCTATAATGTGCCAGTATTTCACGAAAAGTGTCAATGACTTGAACTGCACAACATGTACCTTTTATTTCTTTAATTATTATGCCATAAAGCTTATTCACTAGCACACATTTTTAAGAAATAGCTTTAAAATTAATTCCTTATATTTCTTTTTCATGACAGCTAAAGTTTTTAGAACTAAATGTTCACACTGTATTTTAGAAGAGTTGTATCCTTAATTAATTACAGTAACATACTTCAGGATTATCAGCCTAAGGAAAAGATGCTTTTACAGATAACTTATAAAAGGAAATAATATTTCCATAAATGGAAGTAATCTCAAGCTTCTCAACAGGAAAACATTCTCTGACAAGGAAGTTTATAATAGAAATAAGTAGATGCATACTCTACTAAAAATTTGTGTACATTGTGAATTATGAAAAAATGAAATTAATTCAATTAAAGAATGAAAAATGACAGTATGTTTAACAACACTACAACAAAATATAGTATAAAAAAGTAAAATGTCTCTCCCCGGAAAAAAAAAAAAAAAATTTTTTTTTTTTTTTTTTTTTTTTTTTTTTCTTAAATCACAGCATTTGTTAACCTGAGTATGGCCAGCAGATATATGTGGAAGACTATTACATTAAGTGAAACTTCTTTCTTATCAACAAAGAGTTAAGCACCTTACTTAGTAACTTATATTCAATTTTTTTGAAGTCATGGGTTTTTAATGCTTCTTTGCACTATTAATTTATTTCTTTTTAAGTTTAAGATATGCTTCTTTGCACTATTAATTTATTTCTTTTTAAGTTTAAGATATGCTTCTTTGCACTATTAATTTATTTCTTTTTAAGTTTAAGATATTTTTATTTAATAAATACTTTTTAAAAATTATAAAAACGTACATTTTTTGCCTTTTCCAAATATCGCCTGTATCGCTCTTCCATAGCCTTCATTTCCTCATCTTTACGGTTCAAACATTCTTGTAGCTGCTGATTTCTACAAACTGAAATACACAAATTTAGATGTAATTATAATATAACACTATAAAGTAATATATTTTTTTTTTGTATGCGATCTATACACAATCAATCTCATCTTTACGGTTCAAGCATTCTTGTAGTTGCTGATTTTTACAAACTGAAATATACAAATTTAGATGTTATTATAATAGAACAGTATAAAGTAATATATTTTCTGTGTGCAATACATACACAACAAAAGAGAAATTAAAACTAAATTTAAAAAAAAATGCTTAACAAAGGATTACATTACTAAAGATCAGCCAAACAACCCGGTAACAGAAATTTAGATAATTTTTTTCCTCCATATTATTTTCAAATGAATTTATATTACAAAAGTTCAAGAAAAACATTGTTATCTATCGTAAAAACTAAGAAATGCAATTACACACAGTTCATAAAAATAACTTTTGTTGTTTAGAGGGGGGAAATGAAATAATAAAAAAACACTTATTGATGGTTTTTACAAAAATACATAGAGAGTTACATTCTAGCAAGTAGCAGTTCTTAATTAGATAAGAAAAGATCTGTCATAAATATACACCATGTGCATAAAAGTCCTTACACAACCTTTATTTTTGCAACCATTGATTACAGAAATGCACTTCCAGTTACAAAAATGTTTTAAATGCACAAGTATCAATAATTTATAATTTTTAATTAAAAAATTAATTTTGTAAAAATAAAATTTATTTCTTATATAGTCCCTGTTCCTAAAGATAGTTACATTTTGTAAAAAATTATACTCATTATAAAAAATACAATACAAGATGCTTGACTTCCACACAACAAAAATTAACACTCTACCAACTGATAACCTATAAATTGGCTTTTTGCCCCAGATGTTTAACCACTGACAGTCTATTAATATGTTGCTGCTAATGGCAAAAAATTAGAAGACACTGTTTTAATAGTTATTGAAACATTAAGAACATATGGCACCAGATTTATAAAGATAATTATTACAGCAGTGTCAATATAGCTAAAATTTTTCTGAAAAATAAAGTGCGATTGTGCAGACCCATTCGAAAAAATAGAGAGCTTCCTCAATCGCCCCAAACAATAAAAGTTTCAAAAGGTCAACACGAATTTCATAGAAACAATGAAATTTTGATAAAAGCATGGAATAATGACAGAAGAAATGTCAATATAATCTCACCTATAGATTCTGCACAATTAACGGAATCCAGAAACAGAAGTAAAAGATCAGATAGCTCAGAACAAAAGCCGAATTTAAACTTATATTATTCTTAATATATGAAGAGTGTATATCGCGTGGACCAATTATTTCATTGTTAGGGGAAAAAATAGACTATGCAAGTTATAATTTTTTTTTATCAATTGTGAACTTTTCAAAGCATACACAATTCTAAACAATAAAAAATACTAGCTACAAGAATTTCCTTCACAAGATGGTAGTTTCATAGATAGAAAATTGCGAAACTAATAATCGTATGAAATAAGATGACGATCTACCTAATTCTGAACCCACAAGTAGAATACCCAGAATAGACCATCCCAGAAGACCGCTGAATTTCAAAAAACAAACTTTATTTTTAAGTTTAGTGGCCAGTGGTCAAAGTATAAAACCGCAACGACAATGGAGAGTTTGTGCAGTTCAAAAAAAAAAAAAAGGCTGTAAATTTTGCAATGTTCTATTGCACAAACGTGACTATTTCGAATAATATCATACTTTAAAAATAAACTATTAAACTATTTCTTATTTGAAGAATGTCAGTATATATATATATATATATATATATATATATATATATATTCTATATGGATTATTGCATAACTATTAATTCCTTAACTGACACTGAAATTGCACAAGATTTACTCCCCAGTGCCACCGTTTTGTACACAAGCATGCATAGTTATACGATTGATTACATACTTGCCGACCTATGACACTCAAAAATCAGATTTTTTTTAAGAAATCAGGAGATTTGTTAAAAAGACTTTTTAAATGATAAAAATATAGTTTTTAATAATGAATTAACTTTAAACAGTTACTAATTCTTAAATGCAAGTAACACAAAAATACTTTACACATAACAAACATTTTTATTACTTGCACCGTTTAAGAAAACCAAACCAAAACAAAAAAAGACACTTTATTCAGTTTTCGTACAAATGTTATGAACAGTGGCAGATTTTGCTTTTGTTAAGAAAAAAACTTCATGATTTTGTTCATAGCAATTGCCACGTAGGCCTGCTTTCGCTAACAAAAGTTTTTCTAATGTGTCATTACTAATATTAGATCTAAATTTAGTCTTTGTTTTTGCAACAACACTGAAAATCCTCTCACACTCTGCATTACTATAGGGAACTGTCAAGATGGCCAACATAATTCTAGACAGTTTACTATATTTTAAAATTCCATCAGCACCTTTCAGTTTTCCAATTAAACTTCACTGGGTGTCAATCCTTGCTGATTTTATAACTTCATCTAAGTTTTCTAAATGTAAACTGCAAAATTGCGACTGCAATATTTATCAATGGGAACATCAATATTATCATCTTTCATGACTAAATGAAGTTCACACAGGAAATCTGTTCAAAAAGTACCTTATATAAGAAAAAGACACATTTGCTAGAACAGAAACATCAACAACTTCAGCATGCAAAATCCTTTCATCGTAGACTGGAAATTTATGTAGTATGTAATCACATACTTGACAGAAGTAACTTCTAACATGAAGATAAAACTTATTTTTGTCTTCTTCTGAATGTTCTTCCACTACTTTTGTAGTTGCAGCTCCTATTACCAAATCTTTTTCTTCTGATTTTCTATTTCACCATAAATCACATAATATACAGAATTGCAAGACAAAATACAGACTGGTTTTACAAACTTTGATAAAATGTCTTTAGATAGATCATAAGCCATTGATTGCAAAACATGAATTAATGGAATTCTGCTTTGTAGAACTGTGTTAAGAACATCGAATGATGGCAAAACGAATTGTAAAAAAAAGCAAAAAGCTTTGTTAAGCTCCGAAGAAAAAACATAAATATTCGTTCTTCACAAGATAAACTTACAGTAATCGGAAAATGTTTCGTGTGTTGAGCACATTTTTTTTTATTTTGAGAGAAATTTGTATCAGCTTTATGCTTATTTTGCAGTATTATTTTGAGAAATGCCAGTTGAATTGCTGAATGGTGCAGAAATTACTTTATTTTTCTCAAACCTATTTTTAACACTGGAAGTAGTAACTATATCTCCATTTACTTTAGGTATTTTATAACTTTCAATAGAGCCAGTAATCTATAGAGTAGTTTCAATAGAGTAGTAAGTAAATGTTTCAAGAGATCTTAACTCTCGAAGCATTTACTTCTTTAAAAAATGCAAGAAGTGGGTTCCATTGATCGAGGATTTTAGATAAGCATTTCTTTAAAAACTGCCAGAGTGTACACATATGTTTCAAAATTTTCCTTATTTCAGTATTACGCAGCTGTCAGAACTGTTTCAATTTTTCCCTCTTTTTAGAACTCCTTTCAAGATAATGATAAATATCAACAATGTGTTCATCCACATTTATTGGTAAAGAAGCTGTCCCTTTTTCAGCTGCTAAATTTAAGAGGTCACAGGTGCACCTCATAATCTGCAAATCTGAATTTTCCTTAAGATGCCTGCAACACCAGTCTTCAAGCCTACCATTACTGACGCATTATCGGCACCTAGTGCTAAGCAATTATCCAGAGGGACTGCAGTTACTTTTAAAGTTTTAATAATTAGTTGTGCTCTGTTAAAGCCTGCCAAATGTTCTAAAGTGGGGACAGAAAGTAAACTGCACTCAATTTCCGAAGACAGCGGATTAAAAAAGAAACAACATTTGGATACAGTTTTGAATCGGTATTATTGCTTCTATCTGCAGAGAGGCAGAATCGAGCTGTTTTAATGCAATCAATAACTGAAGATATATTTTCGAAACCCATTTCTTTAGCAATTGCACCTGTTTTGGTTCTTGCACTTGAGTATTTATCGATTTCACTATCGGGAAACATTTTTCTAAATAAAGCTGCAGAGTGATCCGATGCATTCAATGGCAGGTTGAGCTCCAGTAAAAAGGCAGAGAACAGACATTCTACATTAATAACTTTTTTGGTCCTTTGTTTCCAAAGAAAAATTTAATTTTTAATTTTTTTAAAAACAACTGATGTTGTCCTTGTGCTTTTGTGTACACACATGTTTGAGAACATCCGCCCTTCCACCATGCTAAATCGAAAAATCGCAATGACAGACGGTACACATTGCAAATTTATTACATTTCCTTGAGCAAATAATGGAAGGAAAGTCAACTGTGTACGATTTTTGAAACATACACGAGTATTTCACCTTTCTCACAGACATAACAAAAGATGATAATTTCTAAAACTATTTCCCGAAGGCAAGTGTATTCATATAACTCAGGACAAGATGAACGAAATAACTAAAGAACATCCAAATAACAGCCTTGAGCTTGCTTTGTTCTCATTGGCTAATATATGCCAGATGACAGGCAGTGGAGCTCGATGCCCATTGGAGAACGACATTTCTGGATACGTATGCTCTCACTCACAAAGCAGAAATTCTAATCTGATTCGCAAGGTTTTGTTTTAGATATAATCTAGAGAAAATTCAATTGCCTTCAGACGTTCAATTTTTTTTTTTTTTTTTTTTTTTTTTTTTTTTTTTTTTTGTTCATATAACGAAGTATTCAGCCAAGTTCAATAAAAATCGTGAGAAATTTTAAGAATAAGAAAAAGTCAGGAGAAATATATCGTAAATTGGGTTGGCGGGAGAGCGGTCGAAAAAGTCTCCCGCCTAAATCGGGAGAGTTGGCAACTCTGCGATTATTAGGGGGAATATAAGTGCACGTTTCGTAGTCTAAAAACTGTTTACTTTCACAAGATAAAGAATAAAAGAGAAAATTAAAACACAAAATTTAGAGTAAAAGTATAATAAAAAGCATGTAAGTATAATAAAAATGATGTTTATATAATAAGAAAAAAGATAAATGCAAGAAGAGATAAAAATGCAAGATTAAAAGAAGATTAAAATGCAATTTCAATTAATTTAATTTTAGACCAACAAAGTGTAATATCAGGTTTCCATATTATACCTTGTAAAATAAGTATATCTAATATATATTTCATATGAATTGTTTGGATGCCAGAAGCAAGTTTTTCATATCAAGTCGTACCCAACGCCAAGCATCTTTCAGAGAACAGTCGCAATCCTCTTCATCTGATGTAATATCATATTCTGAGATGTCTAATCCTGAAGATGATGGAAATTAATCATTCATTTTACTGTCAGACATTCGTAAAAAAAGCACCTACTACAAACAGTACACGAAAACGGAAGACAGAGAATAAAATATATGTTTTACTCAAACAGAATCATGAGCAATAACTGTGCAGTCATTAGTCATCACTGTCAGACATATTCGTAAAAAAAGCACCTACTACAAACAGTAAACAAAAAAGGAACACACAGAATGAAAAAATATATTTTACTCAAACAGAAACAAAAACAATAACTGCGGGGTCATAAGATGGCTACCACATACACTATTCACAGCCAAAACAGAATGTTGAAAGAAACATTTCTCAGAACCCAAACCAAAGTAGCTGGAATAACACCTTCACTTGGTAAACAGACTTGAAAGCCAAACAGGAATCAGTTATCGCTCATATTAGTGAAAGAGATGTTTGCTTTCCAATTCCGTGTACATACAAAATATATTTTGTACAGTAATTTAATACTGTTGGATCTGTACCTTGGCAAAATGACACGTGTTTAATACATTAATTGTTAATTTTATATTATATACTTTTTTACTCCAAATCTTCTAATGATCTGTTGTACATATTTTTGTAAATATTTTTACATTGTACATTCAGTGATTTGTCTTTTTTTTTTTTTTTGGATTTTATTGCTGTAAACAATACTTTTGTATCCATATATTTATTTAATAACTTTTATGTAAACAATACGTCTTTTACCGATATATGTTTTGTGATGGGTCCAAAATATTTATTTTATCCCCAAAGTGTTAAATATTTCATGAAGGCTACTTGCTCAGTCTTTAGTCCAAAAGGACTTTGTCCCTGAAGGACTGTTGTTTTCATTTTGCGATTTTGCGTTGAAAACTTTAAAAGGCTGCATCACTTTTCAAATCGTTGCCACCAAATACTATCGCCCTATATTATATTTGAAGAAATTAAATAATGAAGAATCTGCATACATGTATGTATGTTTCTCATATTGTGATAAAGCAATGGTACTTAGAGCCATCCAATTTTGAATATACACACATAAGTCATATAATAAGTCATATAACACACACATAGAGATAAAGAGATGCGATGGTTTAGAAGTTGTTGATGTATGTTTATTAGTATTAATGTAATGAATAAGATTTCTATTAATGAATGTATATACAAATTTTTTCATCATTCATAACAATAAAGCCATAAATTTCCAATGTTTCAATATGTAGCATTTACAATAAAAATGTAGTTCTTAATGTAAAAATATTTCATTAATAACATGAAAATCCTAGCATACAAATTTAATGTATATTCTCATTTTTAGATAAGCTACGTTTTCCTTTTTTGTGCACGTTTTATGTTGTTTACAGCATGTTGCCGACTATGCAATTTCAATTTAAAAGTAGTAAAAGTAACTAGCAGAAAAGTAAAGTTATGCATATACAAACAGATTTAAAAAAATGATTCACCTTAAATTTAATTAAAAAAATTCTATTACATAACAATAACATTTCTTTCCACATTATCAGTACCAATTAGGACAAATTTGGCAATGAATAATTTGTAATCAAATCATCAGAAATAGAACGCCATAAAATACTGTCTATTCTGAAATTTCTAAGATTGTAAATTTAATGAATATATAAACATTTCAAAAATGTCTTGGCCTGTTATACTACAAAACAGCTATATATATATATATAAATTAAATTGGCTTCTATTTCTATCATTCAGGATCTCACAGTAGTAGCCATTGCCATATTGAAAATTGCCCGTGATCCTTCAGAAGCAGAACTTTCATTTGATTGGTTGACCTCTACGTAGAACACAGCTGCAAACAAAACATTTTTGAAAAAGCTTCAAAATGTTCCTCCTAGCCTGGATATCCTTTCCTCGGCTAGATGGAACATTCAGAAACCTCCCATTTAAACCATTGCTACTAGAATTTTGTTTCTCGGAAAGATCTCGCCTAGCCACACACGTTGCTAGATATGATAGATTACTTTCACAGTTTCAGAAACATCCCTGTCTCCCATTCCTCCCCCTTTTCTTTGAAATAGCATCCTCCTTCGCATACTCTGTAAAAGTCAATGTGTTGCATTCCAAGCTTTGCAAATTACTGGTAGCGGCGCAAAGCAAATGATAGTATTTCGGAAGGGCATATATATATATATAGGCGCGGGGGCAGTTAATACATTACTGAGCAAGGCGTACATATATGCCTGTGCCAGTTAAGGGGTTAAACTGAAAATTGTTGTAATAGATAAGATAAATATAATTTAGAATTAATATGAAAGTAAAAGATTTTATTAAATCTAATTACTAAATTTAAAATAATTCGAAGATGAATTTTCCCATTACTGACATTCAGCAATATTCTTTTGTGATTAACTAGTTTGTAACATTCTTTAATTCATAATTTTGTTATGAATGCTCTGATGAACAAATTTTCATTTAAACACTTTGCAAGTTTTCAAATGTTAAATGAGCTTTCTAATTACAGTACTTCTTAATTAGCTAATCTAATTAGACACAAAATTGAAAAAAGAAATTTTCTAAAAAATTTCTTTTATTTCCTTTATTTATTTCTTCTAATTTATTTACCTTTCTTCTGCTATCACATCTCTTACAGAGAAAATGAAACATATATTCTATGATCACAAATTCTTTAAGGGCATTAAAAATAGGTTAATATTTTCACGCAGTTTCATTATAACAGAATATTATACAAAAAATTCATTAAACTAGAAACAATTCTCACTTTTAATTTACAAAAATAATGTTATGAGATAATTGCCTATGTGTCAAAATTGAAACTTGCCACTGTTTACTAAAGCACATATTCTATGAGATCCTTATCCAAATTAAAACATAATAAAAATTAATTTTGTAAATTTGTAAGTGCATATGTATGAGTATTTGCCTCATTTAAAAGCACTTTTTATTGGAGGTGTATGCCTATGAGCAATGGTTGCAGAATTAAAGACTGTGTAACTACTTTTAAGGACATGGTGCACTTTTTCTGTCTTAAGGTTCCTATAATTGCATATATATATGCATGCATGAAATTTGGGGGGGGAGATATATTACTCATGGAAAAACAAACCATTACCTGATGCTTCAATCTGACTTTCAAGAGACTCTATTGTTACATTATAATTTTGTATTTCGACATCTGTTTCTTTTTGTCTCTTAATTGCAGAACTCAGTTTCTGTTTTAATTCAGAATCTTCCTGAACAGTAACTGTTGACTGTTTCGCATGTATATCTTCAATCTGGCTTTCCAGTTCCATTATTCTTTGATTGGCTAATCTAATCACAGAGACAAAGAAATTAAAGATTAAATTACCCAAAGAACTCTTTTATGAATCACAGCAGAAAACAATACATTATAGAACAAGCATTTTCTAATGCTACATTTTGGCAAGCTTTCTAATTACAGCACTTTTTTACTAGCTAATCTAATTACATACGCATAATTAAGTAAGAAATTTTCTATTTTTTCCGTCTTTCATTTATTTCTTCTAATTTCTTTTCTTTCTTCTGTTATTACATCTTTAATAGAGAAAATGAAGCATATTTTCTATGATTACAAATTTTTTAACGGCATTAAAAATATGCAAGTGAATAATACTGAGTTAATTATGATGACTTACTGGACATTTCAGGCTACACTTGATTTAAGTTTTTCTATTTAATAACCCTGTCATAACATCACATTCATTACATATTTTGACCTGAAGAAACATTTAAAATAACTATATAAAATGAACTGTAATGTTAAATTAAAGTGTAGAGGTATTCTGTATTAGATGGGCAGTGACGCATTTCAAGTCAGCTTCAAGATACGTCCTGGAAAATAATCAGCATTCTGGATAAATAGAGTTGATACAATTTTATTAGTGTTGGTCCATACAGTGATGAAGTTTCTGAAAATTCGGAAATGATTTCAGTAATTAGATAATCACACTTTGTGGATTCACATGTGTTAACTTCCTTTTGTAGTTAAATTAATCACTCATAAAATGGTCGTAAAAGACAAACAAACATTTATTTAAAGATAAATCTTAATAACCTACACGTAACGCATTCATAAACGTACATAGCATAACAAACGTACTTACTGCATTGTACCATTAAACATTTCAAGCGTATATCATCTCAGTGAATATTTTTTTAAATTATAAATAGAACGACTTCCAGAAATTAGCTGTTGCCATTTTCTCAATAGATATTTTGTCTAATAACAATTAAATAATTTATAATCGTGCTTACACATGTTAGCAAACTTGTGATGTGTGCAAAACGAGAACTCCTTCAAAAACTTCTGGATTTCTAAATCAGATCCATTTTGATGCTGGAAAATGGACAGGGAAATCAAATCAAGAATTTTAAGCGAATCACCTTTCAGAAATACTGTAGAACATGTGTAAACGCATGAAAGATGGCTTAATGTTCAAGAGAAAAATACTTCAATAAAAATTAATTATCTGATGAAAAATCATTCAAAATACTGTATTCAGAAAACTATAAAATATCTGATAAATTAAAAATACTCTCTTTTTTATAAAATAAACCGAGTAAAAAGTACTACATTTTGTTTCCATACACTCAGAATAATTCTTTTTTTTCTTCTTAAAACTGTAATACTAACTCAGAATAATTCATTTTTTCTTCTTAAAACTGTAACACTAATAACTGAACTCTGCTTGCTGAAGATAATTACAATACAGCATATACAGACAATGAAGCATGGTTCCATCTGCCAGGCTACATTAACTCCCAAAATATGTAATACTGTTGAGGTGAAAATTCACATGGAGTTTCCATTGCAGGCTCAGATCCACAGTGTCTGGTGTGCCATGTAGTTGACAGTACATCATTCCTAAATTCTTTCTCGAGACTAAACTCAGTTCGTTATGCCAATAACATACTCAATGTGTTTGTTCAACAAATGGCTGAAAATGAGTGAAAGAATGCTCACATGCAGCAAGATGAAAATACAGCACATGCAACATGGAATGATAATGTACATTTAAGTGTTCCTGCCTGATCACATTGTGGTTCCCACCAACCTTGGCCACCTCATTCTCCAGATATATCACCCTGTGATTCCTTCGTGTGAGAAGCTCTAAAAGGACAGGTGTAGAGCAACAACCCTCATACATTTAAAGAACTCCATAACATTACCATAGCTACCAGGACACCCTGTAGAATGTTCTAGCTCATATTTCTTAGATCATGCGATCTTGTCTACACATGTGCCTCAAGGTCAATGAAGAAGTCTTCCAGCATCTCCTTTGTATAAATCCTTGACACACTGTACTGTACTTACTCAATCACTTACTCGTTTCACATGTTCCACAAGACCTCTTTTAAAATACTAACGGTGTATTTTGATAAAAATTCATTGAAATGTATCATGATATAAACCTCTAAAAGTTCATAGTATATCTGAGAATATAAATAAACATTGGTATTGAACATCAACAATAATTTAGTTTCTAAAACCACTTTCACAGAAGACCAAAATCATTCATAACCTTACGGTCTGTGATTGCATTTATCTATAATATGTGACTAACTGAAGGGAAGACTTCTGAATCTGCGAATCACATCTGTGGAGTATAATCATTAAAAAACAAAATGGTTGCCATAATTGTCATGTAATAGCTTTAGAAAAATCACTTTAGAAAAGTCCAACAAAATACCAAGATCTTGAAAAAATTTACTGCAGCATTTACCTTACACTGTTTGGTTTACAGTTAAAATAAGACTGCAAAAATTGCCTTAAATCAACATTAAGCACACCATTCTACAAAAAAATTTATTTTCCCTCCCCCCAAAAAATAATAATTAAATAAAAATAAAAAAGAAAGGAATAAAATGGAAATAAGGAATAATAAAAACGGAATTATTTCTAGAATCCGCATTATTACTAGAAATCTGTCTTCAGATAAGTAAAATGCAAGAACAGAAAAGGAAGACAATTCAAAATGATTATATACAGAGATATGTGATCAAGAAAACTTGATAACTTTATGGATCACCAGATCTGCACTGCATACAACTAAAGTCTGATTACCTTGAAACTGTTGCAGATTCAGATGAGAACAGAATGATACTCACGACTAACATGTGCTCAACACTTTTACATAAGCACGTTCTGCTTCAAAGTCATTTGTACTAATAAGAAAACCAAAGTTAAACGGTAAAATTACCTATTCAGGCAGTTAATTCTGCTGCAAACAGACTTTTATACATTTTACATTATTTTTTAAATCACACAAAACGAAAAAATAATTAGGAAATGTAAGGTATATTGAAATCTTTATCACATTTTTACAGCAAATTATACAATTCATTATCACAATTTGCAAATGTATGACAACGCATACTTAAATTTCAGCATGTTTTTTTCATTAAGGAAAGTGGGATTTAAGATGCATAACATTTGAAGCAATGGCAATAACGTGTGTATTCTATATCCTTTAGCAAATACTATTATAAGCTTTAACTTCCTTCTTTCAACTCACCAGAAAGTTTTTGATGCTTCTCTTTTTAAACTGCATTTTTATTATTTTCTTGAAATAATATCAGCACAAAAAACTCATGTTGTGAATTTACAGAACTTCATTAGCAAAAAGTATATAACAACATGTTCATTGCTCTAAACGCACATTGCAACATGGGATTTGGATCGCTGAACAGAGGAAAGGAAATCAGCTAACTACAAAAATCAGTCCCCCCTTGAACAATGTGACAAGAAAACGTGCTCATGAAATAAATCTGTTATTTCTCAGGAGTACTTAAAAATTTTAAAGAAAACTTCAGAGGCTCATTTTGTGATCCCAAGGCTGAAATAGTATTCTATACCTGTTATCAGTTTCAAGCTCGTTAATTCTTGATCTTGCATCATCCAACATGCTCTGAATTAGAGTAAGTTGTTTATCAACAGTAGTTCCTTCATTTAGTTTCAATATTTTATTTTCATGTTGCAACCTGATTAGTTTCTCTCTGAAAAGAAAGAATTTTTATAATCTTACATTTAAACAATAAAAAATTCTCATATAAATATGTTTGCAATAAAAAATTTATACTACATGTTTACAATTAAAATTAAATACTACATGTTTACAATAAAAAATAAGTAATGTACTTTTTTTGCACAAACTTTAGATAATTAGAACATTTATGCAAACATGCTTGCACAGATGCTCAAATTCATTACAGTGAGTAAAAGAGCTAATAATGATACATAGTAATCAAAGTCAACTGCAAATATCAGTTTTCTAACCTGACAATTTGTTATTCATTAACTCTTTCCGGCACATCCAAAAAATTCCCTCTGCACAAACAAAATAATCACAGTCGAAAGGCTTTATAGGTTATTTTTAACCTTCTTTATTTATGCTAGATGGTGGCACAACAAAAAAACAGTCCATACATTTTAGCCATGATCAGTTTTTAACGACCTTCATTTTTCAAAGAAATCTTGCAGTTTTTTTTTTTTTTTTTTTTAAAGGATATAAAAGGAATTGCTTGAGAAGAAATTTCTATGTTATTTTCTTGGCTGTATTCTGATCTCTTTATTCTATGTTAGTCTTAAATTTTTACTTTCAAATCTTGCCTAAAATCAAACGACAAACATCTGGTGTGCCCAGAGTAGAATCACAGAAACACCAAGACCAGACCAACAATTGTATCTTTGTTTCACTGCAGTATTTTCTTCAGTGAGCTCATTCACACGAGAAAGACACATTTGTGTTTCATTTCCTGTTTTCTTTTTATGGGTGGGGTGAGGTTTGGTTATCAACTAAGAAACTACTGTTGGGGTGTTTCTCTGAAGGTCAAGGGTAATTTTGTTAGTTCTTTGATTTTTCACTATAACAGTTCTTTTTTTTTTTTTTTTTTTTTTTTTTTTTTTTTTTTTTTTTTTTTTTTCCCCTTTCACTTTCCTTGAAAGAAGTTTTGTTAGCTCTACGTTTTCAATTGTATATGTTTGTTTAATTTTATTTTACAGTTCATATTTTTTTAATTATAGATATTAGTTTATTTTTTCTGATTTCTAAGTATTTTGTTAATGAATTGGACAGGGCTGACTATTTCTGAAGAACTGAAGGTGCTAAACAAATTGCCTTCGGATACTGAATCCGATACGGATCCCGGCACATGTGCAAAACATGCAATGTGCTTTTTCAAAGGTGGTGACACTTGCTTCAAAAAGTACCACCATGAAAAAAATAGATGAAAGGGCAAGTGTACGTGTGTACTTTGAAAATGCTTACTTTCACAAGATAAGGAATAAAAGAGAAAATGAAAACACAAAATTTAATGTTTAGGGTAAAAGTATAATAAAAAACAAGTAAGTATAATAAAAATGATGGTTGTATAATAAGAAAATAGATAAATGCAAGAAAAGACAAAAACACAATTTCGAACAATTTAATTTTAGACCAATAAAGTGTAATATCAGGTTTCCATGTTATACCTTGCAAAATAAGTATATCTGAAAAACATATTTCATTGTCCACCAGCGGCCGAGTGGTAAAATCACTGAACACTGGTAGTTCAGTCCGAGGTTCGAATCCTGCGAAAGGGCTGGCTGCATGGGCGTTTTTGTGGTTTTCCCCATGTGTAACGTGTATATGAGCCAGTTTCCCTTAGAAAGTCCTCCACGAAGGCATCCCTCAACTTAGGCAGATAGCCCTAGTGTGCTATGCTGTATTCTCAATACACCACCACCACACCACCATAACTGGGTGCAAAAGAAGAAAGACTTTTTTCAATAAACTTTACAAAAGCTGCGGATCATACGCCTCAAAAAAAGCACATAGAAAGAGAATCTCGTTACAATAACGGTCCCGTTGGCTGAACTGCATCGAAGATGTGAAGGTCTGTACGACTACCAAGCATGATGTTTCCCCAAACGAGAACACCGCCACCTCCATACCCTTCCCTTTCAATGATGTTCGAGGGATGATTGCGGCTTCCCCGCTCTCTCCAGAAGAGTATGCGATGAGAATCGCTACTCAGACTGAATCTGCTCTCATCTGTAAAGAGTACTCATCCCCATTCATTGTCTCTCCAATTCCGGTGTTCTCGGCACCACAGAGAACGCCTTCTCCGATGGGCAGGTGTTAGAGGTACACACCGTACAGGGCGTCGTGCAAACAGACCACCACCGTGCAGTCTTCTGGCCACGGTAAAACGTGATATCGGTCGTCCAGTCACCTGTGTCTAGCGATTTCTCCCGCTGTCTGCCGCCTGTTTCTTCTGGCCTGTAAGGCAATATACCGGTCATCTGCGGGTGTGGTTCCTCGTGGACGACCACTACTAAACCCTAGGATAGCTGTTCCTGTAGTTTGAAATTGTCTCCAAAGTCGTGAAACGATGCTGTGAGCAATTCCGAACTCTGCAGCCACACTTGTCACACTGCGGCCTTCCTCCAACTTCCCAATGATTCAACCTCGCGTAAAAGCATCCAGATGTCATCTAACAGATTGATTATTCACCATTTCTCGCTGAGGCAGCAACTCGGTGTGGGGGGGGGGGGGGGGGGGGGGGGGGGGGGGGGGGGGGGGGGGGGGGGGGGGTGGGGGGGGGTGGGGGGGGGGGGGGGGGGGGGGGGGGGGTGGGGGGGGGGGGGGGGGGGGGGGGGGGGGGGATTTTAACTGCTATACGGCGTGCAACTCTTTGCCAGAAATTCTGATCTACACCGACAACATGCTTTATACTACTCAGACACTCCCCCATTATGTCTACTTGCATATCTGCGCATGTGCTACCGTACATCACCTTACTTAATCTCCTGATTGGTCTTTCTGTCCACTCTGCCTCTTCGTTCAGCTGATATGCTAATTTTTCGACTTCGTCCTTAATTTTTGCACACCAGTGTAGTTCATCTGAATTGGTTGGATGCCATAAGCAAGTTTCTCATATCAAGGTCATACCCAACGCCGAGCATCCTTCAGAGAATAGTTGCAATCCTCTTCACCTGATGTAATATCATATCCTGAGATGTCCAATCCTGAAGATGAGGGAAAGTAATCATCCATTTTACTGTCAGACATATTCGTATAAAAAGCACTTACTACAAACAGTAAACAAAAATGAAAGACACAGAATAAAAAAAAATATGTTGTACTCAAACAAGAATGACGAGGAATAACCACGCAGTCATTAGTCATCACTGTCAGACATATTCATAAAAAAAGCACCTACTAACAAACAGTAAAAGAAAAAGGAACACGCATTTATTGATAGAAATAATTTCATTTGAATAAACAGGTCACTATGTTGTAAGTAATTTTTCAGGTTACTTTAAGAAATCTGAAAAAGAATTTTGCTTTCAAGAAAGAAGATTTAAAGAAGAAATATTGTGATTTGCTTTATGCAATATTGCAAAAAACACAATTTTAAATGTGAAAGAACATACAAATTCAGAATAAAATTAAATGCATTTTAGGACAGCTTATCAAAAACCATAACAATAAGGAGGAAAATTTTCAATTCATGCAGTCGTGCACTCATGAATCTCCCTCTTGCCATAGAACACAACAAACTGACTTCAAGTACTACAACAGGCAGATATAAGAGTTTTAGACTTAGCAATCTCATAGATACAAATGACAATTAGGTAATAGTCAATCACATCTTTCCTCTTATGTCCTAAGCTCCTGTATCTGTCACAGCTGAACCACAAATGACTCGATGTACCATTGTCACAACCACCATATTCTACCATGCCCAGCCAATGACAATAATAAAAAAATCTGATGTGTACACCACATGACTTCCTTGTATGGAATATTAAATTATATGCATTTTTTCTTGCATTTCATTTAAACTTATTGGATTGAATTAAATTTATTTCATCATGGATGGAAATAAATTTATTTTGTCATTAAAGCATAAACCACAATAGAATAGATGCACTCTATAAATTCACTATATTTGTTTACCACAGCGGCACTCTGGCCCTAGGTTCACTTAACAGCATTAAATTTCCTTCATTTTTTAACTCAGAATACACAAAATTTATATCACCTTCAGAATTATCTAATCGTTGCCACATATTCTATTCAGATACTATAATAAACCTAAATGTATAAAAGAAATTAAGCAAACAACAACAAAAAACAAAAAAGGTTTTTCACAGAGGATTCAGTATTTCTCATTCAATTAATTCTGTTTTTACTCCGCAACAAGCAATAAAAACTCAAAATATCTGTATTGAAAATTATGAAGTAAATCTTAAACACTTATTTCCTCAAATAAATTCCAGAATGGATTAAGCATGATTTAATTCGCAATACTAAAAGAAGGCATTATCTTTGTTTTTGCGAAGCTTACTTTCTGTAAATTGGCAACAAATCTACTATTCTGTTGTTTCAAATGTAAACATAACAACGGCCGACCATTGGCAAAAATATTAGGCTTAGCGGCACTTAAAAAACTTTTAAATTCTTAATAATTCTAAAAATATCGCATGCAGATTTACTAAAAGTATTAAAACCTTAACCGGAAGATAAGAACAATATAATTCAATCATTTTTAAAGCAAAAAGTGCCCAATTTACGAACATATAAGAATAAAGAAACTGAGATTACTGAGCTGAGTAACACAATGGATATATATTGCAACCAAAATATGAGGTGCACATCTACATGCTATAGCAATCCTATATACAAAATTTCAATGTTCCGAGGCTACTCGTTTTTGAGTTTTGTGAGATACGTATATACGCACAGACGTAACGAAAATTTCTCTTCAGAATTCATTTTAAATCAGTTTTATTTTTTTTGGGGGGGGGACGTCTTTATTCTGTCCTTACATATGGATGTCAAGCAAAAATATCATTAAATTGCATTTGATAGCGGTCAAAATGGATATTTTCGCTGAAATATCATGCCTGAAGTTTTTCGCGATTACAATACTTCCAAGGGAACTTTTTAAGTGCCACAATAACTAATAATAATTTTGTATAATCTATAACAAATTATACACACAAAATGAAAAAGCAATTTTCTTCTATCTTTCCATTACTTGCATTCTCAATAGTTATAGAAGTATTTTGAATAAATGGGGGGAAAAAAAAAAGAAAAAGTTTAAAATCTTCATGTTACTTACCTTATTTCTGGAGGCACAGCATCCAACAGCTCTGAATCCCCCATTGATGCCTCATTCCCACTCCCTTCGTGAGTGCTTTCTGCACAAAAATTCAGTGAATTTAAATAAAAGCATTATGGAAGAAAAATTCATTTTAAACATATTCCTATAATTAATAGCAAACTATTAATAACTATTAAAACTAGGACTATTTCTCAAATGTTTAGTCAGTAAAATAAAGCAAACTGAATAAAATGATAATGATTAAGCACATCACTTCTAATTCCACTTCAAACTGTCACTCATGTATTCACATTCATGAAATTGAATGCTATTCATATTTCTTAGTCTGAATACAGTAACTCTAAGCTTCATCTACATCTAACAATTGAGTAATTTCAATAAGCCATCACATAAAACTTCACTCTGCTAAAGCAAAACTATTCCATATTTCTTCCATTTTTTTTCAAACATTATTTAGGTGAAATTTGTTTATCTTGATTGAGATTATTCTCAAATCAAGCTAAACAAATTCAATTCTAATGAAATACTAAGTGAATGAAGCCTTATAATTTTTCAATTTTCTTTTTTCAAAAATGTAATACCAAGTTTCATTGAAATTACAGCTTCAGTTGCTTGTAACTTTTGCAATTCGTGGAAGAAAATCGGCGACAAAAAGATAGGGATAAAGGATGGGGGAAAAGATATTTTTTCATTACACTTTTCATGTAAAATTTATCAACAGTGTTAAAAATGAGAATATTTAGAATATAAATCATGCATCAAGAAAACCCACAGCACAGAAAGAAATATTTTTTTCATAAGCATGTAATATTCTATGTACAAATAAAAATATTCCAAACAGGTTTTCATGCCTTGCAAATATGAAGTTTTATGGCAGAAAATAATTATCGAATACAACACACAGCGCCATTAAAAAAAAAAAAAAAAAGAGGCTCAGAAACAGGTCAAACTTTGTATACATACAGACAGTCAAGCACTTAACAAATGATTTAGTTCTCAAAGATGTCAAGCGATGAGACACTTAGATATACATACCCTCAACAAAATGTTGTGACCTCATTTTATGTGATACATCCTCGAACATATCATCGCATTGAACCAACGAGTGTCCCAATCATAAGTTCCTGAAGCATTATGCACTGCACACTGGTCATGTGATTTCACACTTCATTTTCATTTATTTTACACTTTCTTCACAGAGCGTGGAAGGCTTTCCCCTTGCACATGATCATATTCCACAAATACATTCCTGACAAGACTGGAAGATCGGGCTGATGAAAAGAGCACTTGCATACCGTACAATGCATTCAAGGCAAGCTAAGCAATGCATGGCCAGGCATCGTCTTGTTGAAAAATTACCTTTGGGACGTCTTCAAGATATAGAAGTAAATGGGGCTGCTGCACACCATCAACAGTGTTCCATTAATGTGCCTATAAGATGCATTAGAGATGGATGGCTGTCAGCAGTACTACATTAATTTATACTGATGAACCAAGTGTCACTACAAAGCAGTAGCCAGGTTACCTCAACACATTCAAGCGTTGATCATCATTTGCGAGGTAAATGCCAGATTTGTTGCTAAAGACTGCTCTGACCTATTAGCATTCCAGGCAATTCTGCTGCAATACCACTGCACACATTCACAATTAATTGCACATACAACAATTGTCTGTTGTTTACAGAAAGCTTTGTAAAGAATGACAAACCACCAAACACTGTGAAAACTGCATTGCTATTGGAGCAGTGGAAACATCCTATACACTTTATAAAATTTAGACTACTCGAAACTAAAACCATCGAAACTAGTCCTGTGAAGTTTTGAAAATATAACACTGATTTTTGTTGTTTTACTTCTGAATTAGTATTCATTCGGCACGTTATTGTGTCTTAATTTTAGACTACTCGTCAGATATATTACTATTTGTCATATGTGGACAGCCTATTTGGCACTACAAGACCGGTCCCAGCTGATAATCCCCCCCCCATATTAGGTAGGGTGAGGGAGACTAGCCAAAGTTCCCCCAAGAGGTAAATGTACACTAATCATGCTACTGCCCCAGGGCCGCATTCCATCACGATTCCAAGCGATCACAGTGGTGGCGACCACAGACTGGTCATCAAAAATACCACCCTGCCCTACAGGATTGCATGGAATTTGAGGGACAATGGACCAGCTGCTCCACAGCTACCGATACCTCTAGTTTGGGGACTTACCACCAATTTCCCTTTGGTATAACTATATAGGATGGTCTTTCCTTGGATTTCTGGAATGGCCAGGCTCATGTTTTTATCCCCCGTGCTGAGACTGCCAAGGTATAGATCTGAGCCAGTAAAATAAATGAGATATATTAAGTTATGAGGTTGCCTATTTTACAATCACTAAATCTCATCTACTATAGCGCGAACAACATTGACATAAAAAATGGTATCATCTACAGCCTCTAACTTTACAGAGAAAATCAATCTGTGGTCCATGGTTGATATGCGATCAGATTCATTTGACTTGATTGAGAGAGGCAAGTTTTCAGGCAGCTTTACACCAATCATAGTACAAAAAACTGACATAATTTACACCATGTGACATCTAAAGTTCTAGGAATGTTTATTTAAGCACTGGCTGAAATTTTAGGAATACTTTTCTCCCATAGTTTCACTGTGGACAGGTCAGTGGCATAGCTAGAGCTTCTTCCACTTGCGGCGGTTCCCTGAATCTGTCGAATATTGCAATATTTGGAACTTTATTCTGGGGATCATATTTTAGAATAAACTGCAAAGATTTAAAAGGACCACCCTTCAATGTAACATGAGAAACAGCTCTGCTTTAAATATGCTGACAAAATTTATTTACTATAGACTACTGATATGATCCACAAGACAAAAAAAAAAAAAAAAAGTAAAGTACAAAGCACCTACATTATGATAATTATGTATTACTTATGAAATGATATATAAAGTTAACAATTATGATATTAGGATATATTAATTTGGGATTGTTTGATGTATTTATAAGTATGTTTATGTTTGATATGATGTATATGTTCGATGTATTTACTATAAATCTAATGAATTTAAGTTGATAATATATAGGGCTGGCTTGTTATACATAAGTCACTTCAAGGAAATTTTTTTGTACGATATATTGTTTATATGATCTTACATATTAACACTTCCAAGGAATTATTGCATCCCTCTATGCATGTTATAAGTATCCAACTGGCAACTATATCCTATTCAACTGGCAATTAGAAAATACGTGGTTTTAATTCCACCATAAGCCCACTGATTTCTCACATTATGGATATTACAAAAAATATAACTTAACGACCTCACTCAAATAAAATGCAGGTCAGATTTAGTCAAAAAAAGCTAATGGCTCTTCCCCAGTTACTCTTTAAGTAGGGAAAACATAAAGAATTATGAAGTTTCCCAATGCAATGCTCTCTATGTGTAAATAGTTAGAATACGCAACTGGCAGTGGGAAGTTCTATGGTTTAAGTTCCGACAAGGGAATGGTTAAACTCTCCTGTTTCCCATTTGAATTATTTATTACCAGATAAATATGTTTATTAAAATAATAATTTCCTGATTATTCATTTATGTGGCCACTTACTTTTTTGAACAATCTTTATGAAATTATCAGCCACTTTATTTTCAAAGCAAAAATATTAGCTAACCAATAATTGCAAAATTCTGCTAAATTTTCCTCTGGCTATGCAAATGAACAGTAAGACATCAATATATAAATTCACATATCTTTTATGCATATGATTGTCAAATCATATAACAAAGTATGGATTATCAGCACACAAGATAAATGTGTAGCCCACATTTTACCATATATGTGCAAGTCTGTATGTATACATACATATATAATAAAAAACTGGAATAACAAACAGCATCTATACTATTAAAATGTGCGCACGTTTATGTTTTTTTTTTTTTTTTTTTTTTTTTTTTTTGGCATTATCTCCTCCTCCGGAACAGCGGGGAGTTGAATTTCGAGAGAGATTATCCCCCCTCCTGGCTTCCAAAATTTTGTGGGAAGCCATTTCAACCATTCTCATCTTCATATGACTTTAACTAGAGGAGATATAAATTAAAAACTTTGAAAACGCTAATTTTGCCCTCAGTTTTTTGAGTGGCAACAGTCTCGCACAGTAGAGACAAAAATCTGCTTTATTTCAAGAATAGCTGCCACTGCTTTAAATCGCAAAGTAGAACACTGGGTTTAAATCGTAGAGTTTGTTAATAAAAAATTTCTAAGTTTTACAAAATAATAGCACTGCCAAGCATTAAACATATTCCCGATTCCAAAAAATTTGTGGGGAGCCATTTCAACTACTACCATGTTCTTACGACTTTAATCACCTGAGATATTAATTTAAACTCTGAAAACATTATTTTTCGCACTCATTTTCTCCGAGTGGCATTGGAGATAAAAATGCTTTATTTCAAAAAGTATGGCTACTACTCGCTTTCAAAATACAGAGTTTGTTAATAAAAAATTTGTTAGTTTTACAAAATATGAAATAAAAATAACATTGCCAAACATTAAACATATTATTATTATTATTATATAAGGTCATATTCTGGGGTTTAAGAAAGCATGCAATTGAATGTGACATCCCTGTATGTCGAAAAATGTTTGTTAATGTCAGCATTTTAAATAAATAGCTGGTGTTGGCAACATTTTTCGTTTCAGGTTAGTACAACTGACATGATATATTATTGCCACATTCATTCTTTTATTAATATTGAGAAAATGTCATTATATTACATTAAATTTAAATCATGACGTCAAATGTATTAACCTGAAGTGTCAAAAGTTTTTGTTTCCTGCTTTGGCAATAAAAACGTTATTTTCAAATTGGTTGTTACTTGGAAAGAATGAACTAATTTCTTGCATATTGTTTTCATACATTTGCCTTTCAGGAGTACACAAAACTTACAAATTTTGCTTTGGCTGCAGCATGCTCATCCGGTGCGCTTGTTCGCTAGTTTCTTTTACAGTATAAAATTTATAACTAATATACTATAAACAACTAACTCTTGTATACACTTTAAGTTTGTAAATAAGAAAATATTCTTGAGTACTAACATATTAAAAAATACTATTTGATGAAGAAACCCTCAGTTTTACAATACTGTTACACTATAATAATAATAATAGCAATATAGTATCATCTTGGTAAAAAATCTTAGCACTTAACAATAAGTTATACAACTATAAATTACGTATAAAAAATATTTTCTAAGCAGGTATTTCAATCAAAGGACTAAAAAGTGAAATTTACTGATTTTCTATAATTCAAGACTCATTCATTAAATACCAAATTATAACCAGTTTTTAAAACTCTATTTTTATTTACTCTATTATTTTAAATGCTATTATTTGCATTTGTAAATGTGTACTCTGAAAAAAATTTCATTAGGAATGTTTGTTCCTATAAGGAATGGCATTTTTTCATAAGGCATTGTATAGATAGATATATGTAGTAAAATCTTGATCTATGTTTCGCAATGCATCATTCTCAATTTTATGATCTCAACCGAAGTTCTATATTTAAATAACATTATTTAATCCTGCATTTTCCTGGCAACAAAATTCAAGGCCTTTTTCTTATGCACAAAAACACTTTCAAATGGTTGTACATTTCAAAAGATAAAATGATGCTTCTTTCAATTTTTTTAAATGTTACATGAACATATATTTGAAATAATGCATACAATGCATTCAATGTTAGCACGCTAGTCTTGTAGTCCATTGATGGCATGCCACTGGTACCTATGTATCATCACAACCATCTTGTAGAAGGTTGCCAAAATTTTCAGAATGATCTGAAACAACAATGCACATAGGCAACAATGCACATAACCATTCTCTAGTTTTAACAAAAAATGTTACCATTTTTGTACGTGTTACATTTTTTGCATTCTAAATTTAAATTTTCTTACAGAAAAACAGTGACTTTTTAACTCAACTTCAGTTTTCAAATGTACTTGTGGGATTTGACTGCAGCAGAACAGTTGCCACAAAATCACTAAAGAGAACATTTTTAATCCATTCTTAAAGTAATAGTAATGAAATTTCCAACAGAACTTACCAAAAGAAAAAAATGAGAAGGAAAGAAATGTCTTAAGTTGATTGATTAATCTTCAAGATAAATACCTAATTTAAATGCGAAATATGATCATAAGAATATACATGCATGAACTAAGTAATTACTCAAACTTTTAAGTAATGATTCATTTTTTTCATCACGAAATCTCCAAAGTGTACCAAGTTAATTACATTAATATACAAGTAACAAAAATGGGATACATTAGTTTGAAAATCCAACAAAAATTTTAACAGAAATTTCCATTATGAGGCTAAAAGATATTAACAATCAATATTTCACATGCATTTATAATAGGTCCAGTAGCATCATTTCCTTTATTTCATTTCTACGCATAAAGTCTTGCTTAAAAATCCTCAAACAGCATTTCAGAAAGGAAAAAATAAAAAGGAATAGTTAAATTTTATGTGCATTACATAAAAACAATTTGTTTCATATATAAAATGGTAAAAATGTACCTTTTTGTAACTGCATACATCGTAATTCTTCCAAACTTTCTTTAAGTGAATCACGTTCAATTACCAATCTCTGCAACAAACAAGAAAACTAAAAAGTGCCAATAGAATCTAGTTTTTAACTTTATTATTAATTATATGAGATTGTCAGAAATTTAAAATTTTACATTAAGCTAAGAAGCAAGATCGTGTATCTAGTACCAAATAATCCATGCATCTTTTTTAGGCATTCACAGATGAATCTAGTCTTAGTTCAACACAGTCAACTTCAATAGAAAGTACAAAAAACTCAATGCTCACTTACTCTATATATTCAGATGGAATATGAACATAAATGAAAGATAATATACCTTAACATTGATCTCAGTTTGACAGATCACATATTAGTTATTGAGTTAACAAAAGGTCTTCAGCTCTGGTTAGGTTTGTCAGAAAATAATCAAAGCATGATAAAAGCCACATACAAAGCAGGTCATACCAAGTGGCCAAAAGTATAATTCACGTACCATATTTTACCAATTTTTTTTATAAAATTAGCCACATCTGCTTAAAAAAATACAGCAGAGACAGCTCTCCAATGGCAAATAATGCTGCAAAGGCCTATAACTAACCACCTATAACTAACCACTAACTTAAATTTCATCTGGTTTTTCCTTCTTCCCATAATAAGTTTTTTCTTAGATAGCAAATCACTTAATCTAACTTCAGCAAAAAGAAAAAGCAAAATGATTCAGATTTTATGTTCACGACAGGGTTTAAGGATTTTATATACTCCGAGCTCACAGTTTACCAATCTGTCCTTGGACTCACTTCTGCTAACACTGCTTTTTTTGTCTTTTTAACTTAACATTGCTTTCTTTGCCCTTATGTCACATAAAATCAACAGCAAAATCTCAAAATATTTAACAGCAGGAAATTATTAGAATTCCTGATAAAATATTTAGTATTGTCACACATTTCTCTATTTCTTTCAGTCTTTCCTCAGTTTATCATATCATAATTTTGTTTTCTAAACAAGATGATCTACACAATTATTTTCATATGTCACCCAGACGGTATAGCAGTTAGGGAAGCCTGTCTGTGATACCGAAGGGTCTGGGTTCGAATCCCAGGGAAGGCATGATTGTAACAGTCCATCCCTTCATAAGAGGAGATGGTGGCCCACCTATTAGGTGCCTCCATAATAAAGAGACCACCACATCTGGCCTTGTAGAGATTAATGGACTGTGTTACACTGTAACTGTTCACAATCTGCCATTGGGAAAAAAATTATTTTCATCTTTTTAACTTTATTTTTGATGAAAGGGGACGCAAACGCCCTTTCTTCACACTTATGCCACATAAAATTAAACAGCAAAATATTTAAAATCACTATCTTTAGAATTCCTGATGGCATGTTATGTTTGAAACATGAAATGGACAAAACTGAGTCTTGAGACTAATAGCCCCTCTTGGTGGACAAATAAAGAGAAAGTGGCTATAATGTTTAACCTAGTCATAGCTTCATATCCCCCCAGAGACACGTAACGTAACAAGACAACTAGAAAACAAATCTACTTGAAATTTATTACTTTGAAAAAAAAAAAAAATTAAACAAGTTTTCAGCACTAGAACTGAATGTTATGATTCCAAAATACATATAAAAGATTTAGCTAACTTTTTCACCTTTTAAACAATTTTACTTTATTTTAAGTAAACTGTAGCTGGTTAGGGTAGACTCATTAGTACATCTGTTATTTTTTGGCTATTTACCTTACTAAAGAAAGCATTGTTTTTTTTTTTTTTTTTTTTTTTTTTTTTTTTTTTTTTGTGTGTGTGTGTGTGTGAGTGAACTGGTGAGGTCAGGAAGCACAACTGCAGGAACTGTACCTATACTACTTCTTGATAAGCCATATACATGCATCATTTTACTGTCTATCATTTTTGTTGATTTTCATCTACCAGCCAACTCAGACATCAGCTTTATGGTTTCCTCGGAGAGCTTGACTCATGTGGGATGGTAAAACGTGGATGCGAATTTTGCAGGATGATGGACTGGACATTGTGGACCAGTTGAATGCCCACCCTGTTTACCAGATTTTCCAGTGTGGATTTCTTTTTATGGGGACATCTGAAGGACACAATTGAGAAGACTACCACTGACTCACTGGAGGATCTTGATGCATGACTATCCATTGCAGCAAGTGTGCATGAAATGCCTGCCATTTTTAAAGTATTCGTTGATCACTTCTATCATGCTACCATGCATGTATTTGTGTTGTTCGTCAAAATTCTGAACATTTCTTTGAATACTGTATTGCTACAAAGATGCACTTTGAATTGATTTTGTAAACACATTTTTCCTCCCATGTTATTTTTTTGTGTTCATGCCTTAACACATCACTTTAGCCCCTAAGCTTGTCCCATTATCATAGAAACACCCTAAACAAAAATATACTGTCTGTAAGAAGCAGTGCTCTTTTGCACATCGATAATAAATACGTTAAACTAAGAGAAATATGTGTGTTTTTGGATTTATTGTTATTGGTTTGATTTATTGTTATACTGATATTTTCTGCCATATTTACACTTCTGCAATTTTGCTGTAAACAGTCTATTCTGTCTTGCATTTTACGTTAAATTTTTTCTATTTTATCATGCATTTTACTTTTCATTTGCAGTAAAAACGTTTTATACACAGCTTTGTATATGTTTCCTTATAATTCTCAAATGGCTTCTGTGTCAGGGAAGCCTCCATTACTATATTCTTAAACAAATTTATATTGTTATTATTGACTACTTTATGTTTCAAAAGCTTTATGCTAGTTTTAAAGTCACTTACATGCTATATTTAGATTTTATTTTATAGCCTGATTTTCACTTTTTTGTTTTGTTTATATAAAAAATATACACATAAAAATCTTGATGATAAATATTGAAACATTTCATCAGTCAAGGCCAACTGTGTTCTTTTTCAATTCAACACTTCATATTACATCTTACATATCTATACATCTAATATGAGAAAACAAAGATACTAGAGCACTCAGTATTTCCCTTACGCATCTGTTAACGAAAAACAAGCCGTAACAAGACTACTACGAGTTAAAAAAAATGTTTCAAATCATAAGTGTTAAAAAAATCAGTGGATTTAAATGTTAAAAGTACCACTCACTTAAGAAATCAGGTTTTTCAGACTTTTACGCATTCATCTCTTTTGTATGCAGAATATTTCTACATAATGCAATAACATGACATAAGTAATTTATTTTGGAATCACTTAATATAGCTACAACTTTTGATGTTAAATCTCAGGCAAAATCTCAGGCATATCCAGGTAAATATAAGCTTCATTATAATGCACTAGCTCTAAATATTTAAGGTAGAAAAACATTACAGAAAACAAGCATTTTAGATTTCAGGGATATAAATGATACCCCCCCCCCCCGGTATGTCCACAAAAGCTAAAAATCTCAAAACTGATAAGGATTGCAAATTTTCAGTTCTAAAGTTATAGAAAACTATTCTGAACATATTTTAATGGCAAACTATTTGCAGCTTTTTAAACTGAATAGTTATACAATCACACATACAAAGCCCATCTAAAATTTAAAGTCTCATAATATCTATTTTAACTATTCACCAAGCGCAAAAACCAAGACCAGCTTACTTCCTTAACACTAAAAGTTATGACAAACCTACTTTCAGCATGAAAAATGCTTCTTTAAAAATCAATCACAAACAAAAAAATATTCGTAAAAGGAACTGTTGCTGTTTTGTGCATATTTATTAACAAAAATCTTAGTTATTGCTTTAATTGTATTTGTTACATATCAGTTTGTGAACATCAAAACTTACATCTTTTTCTTGCTGGATTGAGTTTAATTTCTCTAATGCTCGCTTCTTTTCAAATTCAGCTTTATCAGCACGCTTAGTTTCTTCAGATAGCCTTGACTGCAGTTCTTGTACTTGTTTTTTATACATATCTACTTGTGTTTTTGTCATCACAGTTTTTTTCAGTTCCTAAACAAAATACAAAAACCAGAGATAAATCAAGAATGCAACAATATGAAATCCATACTTTGTTGAAGAAATGGTGCGATAATAAATCTTACATTCAGAAAATTAAGAAAACAAACATAAATATCAGTTTTATACATAAAGAAGTATTCAGCAATTCTTACTACTACTATATATATACATTTTTAAAACAGTAATTTTTTTGCATGTTATCTATATGCCATTATATTTGCATAACAGTAGAGCTTCAGATCATAAAAAATTTAGTTATTGAACAAATCATTTGTAAAAAACATGCCTTTGATCACAGATGGTATCTTGAATTTGGAAGGCTCTAGTGGGAAACTAATGATTTTCAAACATTTTGAGGTAATCACCAACACAGAGTTAATACTCAAGAGACCTCCAGAAACATTTTGATATTTTCTGCTGCTTAACTGTCATTAACAAAGCCTGGAGGCAAGGGCCATGAATTCGGCCTGAAGGAAATTATGGCCAGATTGTGTTGCAGGTGCAGATTTTGAAGGCTTCGACATTTAGGACATTATTTATTTATTTTTTGTTACCTATCATATTGTATTCTAGGCCTGAGCTTGGAAATCAAGAATGAATATAGGGAAAATTACAAGACCATAAAAATGCACATTAGAAAAATCTACTGTGAAAAAAATGACTTCAAAAGAAGTTAAGGAATAAATTATCTTAGTTCTTTTGACTCACAAAATATTTCCAAAATGGGACAAGACGCACAGTTTCATATAATGCCATTACCTTGATAAAGCAACTGCCATTTGGAACATAAGCAGTTTCAATATGAATGCAATGGGCTCACTTTAAAAACATTTTAAAACATACAGAACTACAAATCACATGGGACAAATGTTTAGCGAAGTGGAAGTCTAGTGAATCTCAGTCTCCAGTGGCATTACCCTTTCAGGATGGGTGTATCATACATGCATCAGCAGTTACTTCTCTTACGAGACGGCATGCCACTTAGCACAACTCACCTTGGAGATGGTGTGTTGTTGCAGTAGTAAGATCTTGTAAGACGGGATATTTTTCATCGCTAATCCTAACTTTTAAAAAAATTCATTAAAAATACTTTTGTTATCAATTGTTGATTTTTTGTAATGGTATTTAACACTAATATAATCAAAAATACAGAATACCAAAGGATTCTGAAAATTTTTTTATTAAAATCTAAATGAAAAATAAAATACTTCAGTCATGTTAATGAAATGTTGTCAAAAACTTACTTAAATCTCTACCTAAGCATACATAAAATATATGATCAAATATTATAGCATAAATGATTCAGAAAGGAGACCATGTGATAATCTAGTTGCTATCACTTTATTAGTTATTAAACACATTTTCAGGTCAAACTTTTTAATTATTCCATCCCAGCAGAATAATTAGTCCTAAGAATCCCCTCATTTCAGGCACATTTAGAGGAGTATTTTGATTTTGGATGAAGATGGATTTTCACTTTATCTTTTGTTCATAGAAATTATTAGATTCTTCAACTATTATCTTCATTAAAATATAAAAAATGGGTGAAAAAATAAATTTCACTTTCATAATTTTGAATTAAGTTTACTTCTGCAATTCCTGTAAATTCACAAGGCTTCAATTACTTCACAGATCGAGTTCATGAGGTAGCCACTGTTCTGCTGGATTGTGAGGTGAAAGCAAAACAAACTTCCAATTCAGTCCCTGAGAAAATTTTGATATCAAAATCGCTATTCTCACTTAAAGCTAGTTTTTGATGACAAAATAGCCATGGGCTTGAATGAACACTTATGGTCTTTACAATGCGAATATACTCTTCTTCTGTTAAAAACTTCTTTCTCTTAGACATCACACTATTAGTTTAACTCTATTACCCGGTATAAAAAACTTTCATCTGCTATCTAAAGAAGATGCAAACTAAATACAAACCGGAGTTCCTAAAACCACGGCTCTACTCATAATCTTCCCACAGGGGGGAAAAAAAAAAAAAAAAAAAAAATTTGAAGCATCAGAAGCTGTTTGATATTTAAATCACGTGAGGCCTAAAGTGCACGTCAACTGGTTTTTTTTTTTTTTTTTTTTTTTTTTTTTTTACTTCATATCATCTGATCGTACATCTAAACAAATTACCAGAATCAAAAAGTACTTCATGGACACAAGGTCAACAATGTGTATGTTCAATTAAGCTAACTGTTGTGGACACAGAGTGCCATCTAGTGATTTAAAAAATTCTAAAAGAACATGTATGTTTGAGAGTGCATATATGCCACACCCGTCTGAAAGATCAATGCAAACGGCGATGCACCAGAGCATCACAAGACGTTGCGAAGGGGTTAATAGACAAAGAAAAGAAGAAATATGGTGCCCCAGGAAGACATTTTTATGGTTTGAAGCTCCTAATGTTAACAGAAACATCACTTCCCTTTCTTTTCTTCATCGCTTTTGATTGATGTACTAATTTTTATTCATATAGGTACAGTGAAATCACATTAAGTTTTCACCTATTTTATGCTTAATATTGCATTTATCTTTTTGCTTCAGATTTGATGATTTCAATTGGTTTTTTATTATGATAATGTATACAAAGCATAAGGTGTGTTCAAATGTAAGTGATTCAAAGCACCACGTGCGAAAAGTTTGCACTGGATTTTCATGAAACAAATGCGATGGTGAAGCTGTATGTGCCATACATGTGTGTGCGAAAGGAGATGTATGCTAACTTCAATCGTAACAACATGACATTCATTCAAAAATAGTTGGTGTGGATGCAACTGCATCAAAAATGGATCAGCTAGCTGTAATTAAGTTTTTAAGCCAGTGGACATACATCAAAGAATGGTGGCTTTATATGGAGACATGTGTGTATTGAAGCCCACGGTGGTGAGGTGGGCAAGAATGTTTAGCAAGTTTGCCAGGAGACAATGGATTCGTCGCAGCCTGGTCAGGCCACAAGGACAGGTAAACTGATTACGGACATTGATGCGGCAATTAAGGCAAATGGACGTCGTGACATTGCAAATGAGTTGAATTTTTCCATCGGTATTGTTCACAATATTGTCAGCAACATTCTAAAGTATCGAAAAGTTTGCTGTCAATGGTTACAAAGCATACTGTCTGACCACCACAAAAAACAGCAAATGGGCCTCAGTTTACAGCATTTGGTGCACTACACAGCTGACAGTGATGACTTTCCACAGCACATAGTGGCAGGGGATGAAACCTGGTGTCACCCAGTGGGAAGGGGAGTTCATCAGCATGCAATGGAAACATCCCGACTCGAGGCCCAAAAAATTCAAAACGCAGCACTCAGCCAAAAAAGTGATGGTGATGGCCTTTTTCAACATTCATGGTCCCCTATGACTGGAGTTTACGGAGCTGCACGCCTCCATCAATGCCCAACATATGAATGAATGTCACACCAAAACACTTGATAAACTGCATAAGTTGTAAAAACAAACGTCTAGGTATGCTGTCATGAGGTGTCATCCTTCTGCATGACAATGGAAGGCCGCATGTCGCCCGGGTGTTTGTCGAGGCACTGGCACATAAAACATGGGAAGTCTTGGAACATCCAGTTTACAGCCTAGATCTGTCACCTTGCGACTATCTCCTCTTTGGACTGCTGAAGAAAAGCCTATAGGGTCAATGCTTTCAGTCCGACAAGGACATAAAGGCTGCAGTTATGAACTGTTTTCATGATCAACTGACATTGTTCTTCACGGACAGAATTCGTAACCATCCCAAGCAATGGGACACCTGTCTTAACGCAATGAGTGATTTTTTTAAACAAACATTGTATGCATTTTAATCATTATATATTCCTGTTTCTATCTACGTATCTGTCTCTTTTCTGTTGCTACGCATCTCATGGATACGTACCTCGAATCACTTTCATTTGAATGTCCCCCATACTTTTGTACAGTTTAAATAAGTAATCATTTGTTGTTCAAGAATGAATAATCTATTTAATGCTAAATTTCTATATGGAAAACAGTTTTGGTTTATGACCCTTTCAGATGCGAAATAACCTTCTAGAGAAAAAAAAAATTGGTGAACCAAGGTTCTCCTGTAATTTAGATTATGCTGTACACAAAACATGCTACTCAAATGATCTTATACATTTCTACTGTAACTAGAAGCTTGTGTTGAAGTTGGCAGCCCTCTACACTGATAGCAAGTTATCGCTTAGTCTAAAACAAATAACAGTCAGTCATGAGAAGGTTAAAGTTTTTTTTTTTTTAAGCCTTTTTTTTTTTTTTTTTTTATTATTATTATTATTATTATTTAACTCTTAAATGAACAGAAAAGCAACAGCTTGTGCAAGAGACAAACTGCCATGACTTGTGAGTATTTAAACTAATATAAAAGAAAGTTAAAGTTCAAATTTTAGGAATGTAGTCTGAGACTACACATAAAACAGACTATTTAGGCTGACTCAGATAGCTAATGCATATTTCAAGACATCACCTAGCAAGATACAAAAGCCGGACTACAACTTTGCAAATGAAAAAAGTGTATCTGCAGAAACAATCAATGGAAATATTATTCATAAAATTTGATTTTTAAAAATAAACCTTCAAAATTAAAATTATAAGGGAAAAAGAAATGTACACTACGTGGAAATCAAATCTTAAAACTTAACGGTAACCACTAAAAGAAAAATAGAAGACAAATATTTGATATAAAACCAAGCAAGAATAACAAGTCTAACTTCTCAAAGCAAAAACTCTAGATACTAGAATCTCAAACATCAACTGACAGAAAATATACATTCAACAAAAATGTCAAAACAGCATGGGCAAAGCCTATACATGGGAGGAACGGCAAATAATACTGAAAATGTAGTAAATATTTTACTACCCAGAAATTTCATCACTCATTTCTCAGATCAAGGGAATGAGCAATATCCATGTCAAAAACAAAAATTAGTAAATGGCTGGTTGGTTGTATATGGCAAAACACACAAGGCTTATGCTTAAGGGGGAGGGTACCTTTGTGCAGGACTTTCTAAGAGAAACTAACTTGTATTCATAATACGAAAACCTATAAAAATCAGCCAGCTTCTACACCTGAGGCTAAACCAAGGGATGAACTTCCAGTATTCAGCAGACTTAATTAAATCTGCATTGATTTATTATCAGGCATTGAAAACCAAATAATTTATTTTCTCATTTTCTATTAAAATATTCCCCTCTCATGAGCAGAATGAGAAGTAAGAAGTTTTTATTTTTGCTGTTACACTGTTGCAATAAAATACTGATTAATATTTACTAACACAGAGCACTGTGCCAATGTGAAAAAGTATACTAATTACTTGTGCGGTGAACAACTGGGGAAAAAGGACAGCATAAAAACCAAGAAAATAGTCTTATATACATTATTTTTCTGCATAAATAAAAGCTCAAAGCTATGAAATTTTGCCTAAAAATAAAGTTCAACATTTCACATCTTATAACAGATACCATTATTTAAATTCACGCAATTTTCATTTTTACAAGTGATTTTAGAAAATTTATTGCATTTTGAAATAATGTGACATTTATCGGAAACAAAATATTCAGATAATGTGTTAATATATCGAAAATTTTATGATTTATAGTCCACACCTTCCACTCTTGATTTTATAAATTGTTTCTTTGCCTTATCTTTTTACCATATAAAAATCCGAATTGACGAATAAGTCTTCATTGGCTAAGAAATTTTAAGTACAAAATTTTCAGTGCACAATTTGAGATGCACACATTTAAAAAAGGTAAAATAACCACTTACGCCAATTACTTTACATAAGAAATTTTAAGTACAAAATTTTCAGTACACAATTTGAGATGCACACATTTAACAGAGGTAAAATAGCCACTTATGCCAATTACTTTACATACTACGCTATTCTAAAAAATAATTAGCAACATAGAAAAAAGGAACAGACAATACATATAAAAAGTTTTCAGATGGCATACATCATTTGCCATGTTTTTTGAAAACATTATTTATACTGTGATAAAATTCCTATCATATAGTGAAAATAACTATTAACACATTATGCACCATATCAATAAATAATAATTGATGAAATTTTAAGTTGTGTTAGTCATTGGCAACTGATAGCATAAATTTATGAGTATTTTTTAGCAAACACTTCGGTATTTAATTCAGTCTGGCACTTAGTTTAATGTTCTGATAAGAAAAGCTTATGAAGAAATACATGTGTGACTGAACACATTAACAAGATGAGACAAGTGTAGTTATTCCTCTTAAAGCACACAAGTAAAATGTAACACAAACCATTTGAAGGAATTTTATGAAGCATACTGAATACAGATAATGTTATAATTATAACGAGATGCTATTATTTTCAAAGCACAATTTCTAGTACTACTCTTAAACCGTTTTATATTGCTTCTGTAATAACTTCATGCAAAATTTTCTGACTTTTAACATCCGCTCCTTTTTTTACATTCACATTGCAGCTGACTACAGTTTCTTCATTTCATCAGATTGTAAGCATAATCTGACAAGTTTCTACAAACAAAATACTGAGATAAGAGTTTCAGTTACATTAGTATTAATAACATCATCCAGTTAAATGAAATTACACGTTGTATATTATAGAATTGAAATGAGCTAATTGTAATTCAGATATCTTTTTAACTTTCAAAAACTGATTTAACTGTGCAATATATGTATTTATTCTTCTGATATGAATGTCACTGCTTATTCTTTACAACTCTTAATTCCTGATTAATACATATTGTATTCAAATTTAAATGCAAATGCTCTTCATTAAAACATCCTAATTGGTCTTGAGGCTGTGTATGTTGAAAATAATATAACTGATGGACTTTACTCAGTTACATGAGGCAAAGCAAGAAAGACAAACTGCGCTATCTTGTGTTACTTCTTCCAAGTCAATTACAGGAATCCCTGCACGATACAACAAGGAGTACGTACATCAGGGGAAAATTCATTTCAGAATAGCAAGTCATGTATCATTATCCATTTTTATTCCATAATGTAAAATTATTATTTTGTAATTATCTTTTCGCTTCACACAATCATTGCTTTGCGAACTAATTAACCCTTACACGTTAAATGATGATGAAGACAGCAAAGCTAAAAAAATTTTTAGGTCTTATACCATACTCATGAAACATTAGAGCAATTTAATCACTAACGATGATTATATTAATCTTTGATGTAGCAAATAGAAATGCCAACACTTTTTAACTTCCATGAAACAGCAGTATAGAAAACATGTTTTTTATATACAAAATTTAAAATTTTCAAAACAATTAGAACATGTAATGAATATTAATTATGAATCATAGTTTATTCATACTTCTTCTAACTCCATACATTGTTGCATGTAATGGGTATTCTTTCCCTCAAGAACTTTTAACTGTCGTTTTAAGTCACTCATATCCTCTGTAAAAAAATAATAATAATAAAAATAAATAAATAAATAAAATACTTTGAAGAATACACAACTTAATAGTGAAATAATAAGGAACTGGACAATTAGTGAAAATATAAAATGACTGTTATTGATAATATTCCCTTCACTTGCTGTATAGTTTTGGCTTTGCTAGCAATAAAAAAGGAACCCAAAACCATTTTACCTAAGAGGAAAGGTTTTTCGAGGACATTCTATGGGAAACTGGCTATCATTTACACTAGATATGCAAAAACAATCCAAACTCCTAAGGAGTAATTGTAAAATATTTGTATTATTGTAAATTAATTTAAATATTTATTGGTCATTTTTTGCATTGTTACAAATTTGCAAATAAAGTCATTTATCACACAGTTTCACTTAGCATGCTTTTTAATTTAAGATTTTTTATTAAATGCAATCTGTTTTTATTTAACACAGTGTGAATTCCAGTCAGCAAAGTATCCTCAGACAGCATATATTTTAATGGAGTTAATTATCACTTTAAGAAGAGATAGAAGTGCATTTGCCACCACATCAATCAAACAACAGTTACATCTGAAGAGCAAAGATACAAGTTTAAATTATTTTTTCCTTTCTTATAATCAAGTGCTTTATGCTTTTAAAATTAAAGTGTGATTTTACTCATTATACAATAACATAAAAAATAAAAAATGAAAGTGAGAATATCTCTCTTAAAAAAATTATTTTATAGCAGAATAATTTAAATAACTAAAAGAGATGAAAGTGACTATAGAGAAAGTCAGAATTCAGGTGTTATTTTGGAATGAATGAAAGTATAATAAAATAATTTTGAGACAAGTAGATGTTTAAGAGATCAGACTTAAAAACAACTTTTCAGAATACAATACTGTCTATTCAAAACTGGAGAGAGAAAAATGACTGATATTTAATATTTGTGATTTATATGGCGAAAAAATTGTATTCTGTAAGGTTTAAATTATTAACTGTATTCTGTAAGGTTTAAATTATTAACTGTATTCTGTAAGGTTTAAATTATTAAAAGAAAAGCTCTAACCATCTGAAAAGAGATGGAAAACTGGCAACAGAAAATAGTGTTTTAATTAGCTTTAGCTGTTCTAATAGTTTTAAAAATGCACTGAATTGCCCAATATATGAATGCAGAGTGTACTTGCAAATGCTGCAAAACGTTACATAAATATTGTAGATGGAGCACTATAACCACTGGCAGGTATTTAATATTGATAAAAAAACATTTATTTTGGCAGTATCTGCCAATAAAATCTTTCTTTGAATACAAGAGAAAACTTTGATTGCTTATAAAGCATCACAAGACTCAGGATGAAAGCCTGAGTAAATTATTTTAATTTAAAATTTTAATGGGGGAAACTTTTCCCCCATTCAAATGCCTTAGTGAGAATATCATCATCAGAATGCAACATTTATTAGTTTACCATTCTCATATCATTTCAATTTTGTCTCAATAAATCCTTATGTTATGATCCTTATGTCTTTATTTGTTGATAAGAGCATAAAAGAGTTTTAAAAATACACTGGACTTCACAATGTCAGAAATCTTAATGATCTAAAATGAAAACCAATGAGCTACAAAAAGTTAAACGTAAATTTAAAATTATAGATGGAAGGAGAATTGCTTGGAGAACTAGAAATGGAGTCCATTATTCTGACAGATTTGCTGAAGAGCCATACTTCCTTCCTCTGACATTTGAAAAGCATGCTTTAACCTGACTGTTGTTTATCCTTTGTGCTCTTCTTTAACCTCTTCACTCCCAGTATATAATACATAACATGCTTCCGTTGCCCTGTGTGGGCCCACCATATCAAATGTAATATGGATAACCACCACCTGTGGTCCAGCAGATCATATTTGATAAGCTAAAACTGAACTTCTTAATTTATAAATGTGGCATACATGTTGTTAGAATTCCACGAAAATTAACAGAATGGAATGTGTTGAGCATTGGCCTTGTTTTTATGAGTATTATTTACTATTTTCAGCATTACCCAATTATCCACGTCACTAAGAAAATCCCAGAAAATTATTGATGAGGCAACGTACTGTGTGTCATCAAAAAGTACTTATGTAGCAACTTATGTATGCACATATCATATATGTGTTTCTGTACTTTTGAAAATCATGCCAGCTGACGAAAAAGAAAGTGCTGCATTTCTTCTGAAATACGGCATTTTGTCCAACAACGAAAAATGCAAAAATTCACAGTCTGTTATTGCAAGGACAGAATTTTATGAACATACAATGTGAAAAACTGCAAGCAAAATGATAAAATGCAAGTCAAACTGATTTAAGATCATAAATTGTATCTTGTTTACACTGTAAACTATACTTAAGATATTGTAATGTTGTTGTTTGCTTTATTTATTGTTGCACAAAGGAATATATGTCGAAATTCTGTGAAGAACAATTATTCGTAAGCACAACAATCAACTGGTACAACTACTTCAAAGTGTGCAGATTTTTTTATGAAAAAAGAAAAACAACTTTTTTCCTATAAAATAAGCTTTTACTTAAAGCTCATAAAATAATTAATCCGTTAAAAGGAGAAAAATAATATATCACATACTAACAACAAGGTATTAAATAATTCCTTTTATAAAATACATCTACACTATATTATAAATAATAAGAGTGGGAGAACCTTGATAAACCAATTTGATTTTAAAATTACACTATTTAGACCCACATGCTTTTATTATTTCGGACATAAAACTGCAGATCAATTTTGTAAAGAGAACAATTTAATCTTTTATTCACATCAAACTATATGAATATTAATTTTCTCCTTTTATTTTATGGATTTTAAATAAAAGCTTATGTTATACAAAACTTTTTATCTTCTTCTTTCTTTCTTAATTATCACTTGTATTAGTTAATGGAAAAACTTTTTTTAACTATGAAAAATCACTCTTTTACAATTCTGTGGCATGAAATGATTGAAAGATTGAGAGTGTTTCAAAAGTTAACCAAAAAAAAAAAAAAAAATCAGACACTACATTAAAAATTTCATAAAAACTTCATTTGAATTATTTTTTTGCCACTCTATCTGGTGGCACAAATATTAAAATTCTTCAGAATTTTGGTTTGTTCATAAAACAACAATATGCATGAAAAATCATTTTATCATTAAATATAAATTGAATTTTGAAAAAATTGCATCACTGCATTATATTGTCACCCACAATGAAGAGTGAGAGCAAAATTTAGGCTAGATACTTATTAGGAAATAGTTTAAAAAATAAATGGCAAAGATTTGACAAAGTAGCAAACATCATGAATGAATTTAACAAAAGCTTATAAAAATGCGATTTTATTTTTACTTCCTTGTATGAAGTGAAAAGGAAGTATTGTAATCGCGAAAAGCTTCAGACAGAATATTTCAATGAAAATATCCATTTTGACAGCTTTCGAATGCAATTTAACGATGTTTTTGCGTAATATCTGTACGTAAGGACAGAATGAAAGACTTCCACCAAAAAAATAATAAAACTGCTTTAAAACGAATTCTGAAGAGAATTTTCCATGGCGTCTGTACGAACATATGTATGTACAGATCTCGCATAACTCAAAAACGAGTAGCCCCAGAACGTTAAAATTTTGTATATAGGACTACTATAACATGTAGATGTGCACCTCGTATTTTGGCAATCGGCCGCACCAAACGTATATAAATATATTTATATATATATCCACTCTGTTACCCGGCTCAGTGATCTCAGTTTCTTTACTCTTAAATGTTTGTAAATAGTACATTTTTTGCTTTAAAAATGATTGAATTATGTTGTTCTTATCTTCCGGTTAAGGTTTTTATGCCTTCAGTAAATATGTATGCAATATTTTTAGAATTATCAACAATTTTAAAGTTGTTTAAGTGCCACTAAGCCTAATAATTTTTTTGATGGCGGCCATTGCTTGTTTACATTTGAAACAGCAGAGTAGTGGATTTGTTGCCAATCTGAAGAAACGTAGCTTCGCAACAACAAAAATAACGCCTCATTTATTATTGCAAATTAAATCATGCTCAACCCTTTCTGAAATTTTTTCAAGGAAATAAGTGTTTAAGATTTACTTCGTAATTTTTAATACAGATATTTTGAGTTTTTATGCATTTTTTGCTTGTTGCGAAGTGAGAACTGAATTAATTGAATGAGAAATACTCAATCATCTGAGAAGTCGAGTAAAAAGATGTTTCTACATCTTGACACTCGAGAATAAAATACGATCTGTGCGTGTGTGAAAAACTGTTTCTATTTTGCTTTGTTTGCTTAATTTCTTTTATACATCATTCTAGCTTTATTACAGCATTTGAATAGAACATGTGGCAACGATTAGATATTTCTTTAAATGATATAAATTTTGTGCATTCTTAGTTATAATATGAACGAAATATAATACTGTTAAGTGAACCTAGCGCCAGAGTGTCGCTATGGTAAACAAATAGAGTGAATTTTAAAGAATGCATTTATTCTATTGTGGTTTATGCACTGTCGGCGAAGTAGATTTAATTCAATCCAATAAGTTTAAACAAAATGCAAGAAAAAATGCATGTAATTTAATATTCCGTACAAGGAAGTCATGTGGTGTACACATCAGATTTTTACTATTATTATAGAAAGTCGGCCTAATTTATCATTTTTGTTTTAAAAAATGATGAAGAGTTTATAATCTTTGAAAATTTCCATAAGCATTCCATATAAAATATCAAAATAAAATTTATGAAATGGGAAAATTTAAATGACATGGTTGATGTCAACAAATAGTTTAAAATGATAATTGATCCTTAAAATCTGTTGTCCTTATCTACTGTTGCTAAAGTCTACCCACAAAGTTCTGGGAGGGGAGAATAGCATTTATACAGCGGCAGTAGTCATCTATAACCTGCTAAATTTCTTTACAAGTAATTACTTCTCACAAGCAGAGGGACTTAAATACATAAACTAATTAAATATTAGAGAAGTGCATATGGAAGTAGAGATAATATCAACCAATTAATAACTTTCAATTATTTTCACTTTAAAAAAATGGGGAAGAGTTTGTTTTACAATCTGTGAAAAGTTTCAAATCTTTCTTAACAATACATTTTTAGATGTAAAAATTTCGGAAAAGGGGATAACAAATGGTCAAAAACTAGGTCTTTGAAAAATTGCTTAGTAATCAGAAATTAAAAAATTTTATATCAATTTCATTAAAATATTTTTTGCTTTATGTGATGCCCCAAACAGTAAAATTTTGAAATTTTTAGCTTGTTAAATGAAGATTTCTGCAAAAAATCATTTGAACATTAAATGTACATTGAATTTGAATTGAAAAAATTCACTTCACCACATCTTAATTATTGTCAACCACAAAGACTGTGAGTGCAAAATTTCAGCTGGATATCTTGCGAGAAAATAGTATAAAAAATTTGCAACAAACATTTAACATAGCCCCAAATATGAGTGACTGAGTTAATGAAAGCTTACAAAAAAAGATGACACTGGATGTGCTATTGAAATGCAAATATTTCTTTCTAGAGTCAGCAACAAGTTCATGACTTCTCAGAGAAGGTGCAGATAATCAGAAAGTACTCTATTTCATTTCATAAATGTAAAATGCACGAAGCATATGACTCACATTCAACATTTACAGGAAGTTCACACAGTGCAAGCGGCTCAAATATTTGTATATAAACATGCAATAGGATATAACAGGCACTGAAATTTTAATTCTTACCTTTTCTATTTCTTTTTACATAAAAATAATTTAAACATGCAAATAAAATCATTCCTACTAATGCAGCACTTTTATTTTTAATGAAAATGTTAGGATTTTCTAATTATATATATTAAAAAATTAATTATATATGCAAGAATCCAAATATTTTGATACAAAGAAAATTTTAGAGGAATTATTTTTGTGTATAAGGTTTAATTGCAAAATACGTTTGGGAACACAGTGGCAACTAGCACTTCAGGATCACAGGCAATCTTCATTCTGCCAGTGCCAGGAGCGAAGAGGTTAAATCTAATTTCCAAATTAAAATGACTAGGAAAAAAAAAAAAAAAAAAAAGAAAAGAAAAGCATTGAAAAGCATATATAAAAGATGGAAACTTTAAAGACTGATTCTTTTAAAACTGAAATTTTTAAAGACTTTCCCAAAAACACAAAACTGACAAACATAGAATTATTAAAGAAACTGTTTATTCTTGCATGAAAGCTGAAAACAAAAAGGGACTCCAGCTTACAGACAATCAAATATGCTATACATCTAAGATAAAAAATTTCCCGAGGATAAGGACTTGTTGAATTTTCACTTAATGTTGAAGATCAAATATTCCAATTGCACCTTTGCTAATGGTTAAGTTAAATAATGATGAATACCCCCTTCAGGGAAGGTATGATTTCATACAGAATTTTCTAAAGGAAACTAGCTCCTATTCACATTACATACCAAGAAAAATTCCATGCAGTTTGTCATGATTTGAAATAACAGCTTTCAGCAATTTTATGCACTTGACCACAGGTGGACAATATACTAATTCAGATTCGATGGGGAAAGAAAAACCTTGCAGCAGAATGTGAAGTGCATTTGTTTCTCACCTAGAAGAGGCATAACTTTAAATTTCACCACAAAATCTCATACCATGAGCAAGGGTTCTAAAGGTGACCCAAAGAAATCCGCTAAAGAGAAATTTAAAAATTTAACCAACAAACTGGATAGTTATTTGAAAGGCATTTTTAACATCAATGAAAAAGATTTCTTTCACCTCATACTTAAAACTAGCCTTTGAAGGGCTCAGTGTAATGAAGTCAAGATAACAAAGATTAATTATTTTTCTCTGCGCAAATGCTGGCGCAAGTGAGAAAAAAATGATATCTCTAATTAAAGCAAATTCAGAAATCTAGATGTTTCAGAAGTATTGAAACCTTGTCATCTATAGTATCATTATTCCCATGGGCATTTCTACAAACTGCTTCAAGAAAGTGACAAAACAATAAGATAGCAAAACTCTAAAATTTTCCTATTCCTGAATGCATATATCATTTACCTGCAACCACTTAAAATTTTTGAAAATGCAACTTCTTCACATTCAGGTGCTGTCCAAGAGATCAGATACAATTACAAATTGCTTTTATCAATAAAGATCTTTCAAATCCAAAATGAGATAAAAATAATTCACAGAGAAAGGGATGATGAAATTGTGATTACTGATGAAGAGGATTGTAATCACTTGGGAACAAACATTACTTTTGAAGAATACACATAAACTATGATGCCTGCCTAATGATGTGAAAACTGCACACAGTCAAAAAATTGAAACCTAGATTTGTGAATTAACATTTAAGTAGCACAGATAACAAGAAAGCCCTTGCTTATAAATATTCCTATCTCCTTTTTATTGCACTGAGACACTCAGAAACTTTTTTGTCATAATATTATTTTAAAAGTATAATTCAATTCATAGTCCTTTGTTTAGGGCTCACAATCAAAGGCATTTTCAATAACAGTAAAGTTATTTTTTCTTTGAAAATAATTTAAATCTGCATGTATGTTAAAATCCATCATAAAGAGTATTATGTATTCAAGATGAACAACTGAAGTAAAGGAATTGTCATTACCATCTATAAAGATTACCAATGGAATTTTTGCAATTTAAAAAATGAAACAGGTCAACTTTTTTTTAACTAGTATACATAAGAAAAAAATAAAAAGCATGATTATAAAATTAATTTTATATGACAACAATAACAGTAAAATTATACAGCTATAATGTACAAATCACATCCTGAACTAAAATTTCAATTACATGTCTTTTTTTAATGATGCCTTGAAAGACATAAAACTGTGCTTCACTGCACAATTGATTTACTTATATTTATTTCACTGACACAAAATGCTTCAACTACACATTCTTTCAATGATGGGTCACTATCCAACAGTGTGAAGAAACACTTTCCCAGCGGTTGTTAACCACAGAGGTACTAAATCTGACACATTACACAAAAATCAAATTCAGTTAAAACTCAAAGTATGACACAAAAGAAAATCACAGTAGCTACATGAAAACTCAAATGTGTGGCCAGCAAATTTGCATTTTACTTTTATTAAACTGAAAGTATATAAATTAAAATATAGAAATAAATGTACAATAATTGCACACAAACCTAATTTCTTCTTATAAGACTCTATGGTTGCTTCATACACATTCTGAAAAACAAAAATTAACTATAAGCTTGGAAACAATATCTGTACATACACACAAGCATATATTTAAGATTAACATAATTAAAAAGTACATTTATGAATAATATTAAGAAAATTTCGATTAAAAGTAATGAAGCAGTTTTGTGAGATTTGGCTTGTTAAGCAACATATTAGAAACTAATAAAAATGAAATATTTTAGAATGTTTTGGAATACTATTCCATACACAAATATTCAGCAATTAAACTGACAAGAGATATAGCCATAAAGCCTCATAACAGCTTAAAATAATTAATTACAATAATGGAATATAATAATAGAATGATAATCTTTGCAAAACAACTTTTCTAATACAGTACAAAGTCCGAAATCCAGAAGTCCATTATCCGGAATAATCTAAAATCCAGATCTCAAAGCCACAAACTTTTTTTTTTTATATGCTTTATGCATGCGCGTTTGATTATTACTTCCATAATAAAACATGTGGAGATTTTCCCTTAAAAATTATGATTCTTAATTTCACTTAGGTACTAAATATAATACTTCATTATGAAAAAACAATCACATAAGCATAAATTTGTGGGTCACCACATGTTATCAATACACGACAGTTCCAGTAACAACTCGTGCAGTGATGTCTAAACTTTTTTTATATTAGTAATTGAATAACAAGAGTATGGCAACCTTTTATGCTAACATTATGATTGGCGACGATTATAGATTTTTAAATGCTCTAAGAAATGTTGAAGAGGAAATATTCAAGAAAAATTTCTATTCATATGCTAAAAATAGATTTTGTTAATGAAACTCATAGGCCAAAAGATTACATTTAGTGTTATTTTAATTCAGAATAACTGATTTGTTATTCACTCTAAACCCAGAAGCGGCAGCAAAATATGGCTGCACCAGACAGCAGAATTTAGGGAAGACAAAATTTTTGGAATTATTAAGGCATGAGAAGTATTTTGTAATTTACGGACACTGAGATCCAAAGTTTAGGTGCAACGAAAATTTAGAACTTTGGAAGGTACTTCGTAGCAGAATTTAGGACACGCAGAGACTAAACCGGGTGGTTATAAAGTGCCAACCCTAGATAAAGCCTTAAGTATATGTGGGGGTTTATTTATTCAGGACTCATATTAATTTTAAACATGTGGAAGAAATAAACGTACGTAAATTAAATAACTAAACTAATACAATTCAGGCTTAATTCAGACGCAATAGAAGAAAGACAAAATTTAGCAAAACAACTTAACTTCCATCGCCAATCTTGTGATACACAGCCAATAATGCATAACAGACGCTATTAAGCTAGGCTAAAATTATCTTTACTGATTCGAAGGCATTTCAGTTAATGTAGCAGACTGCGCTGCTCCCTAATCATCTTTTAGTTTGATCCAGCTTATTATTTTTTGCAAACTGTTATTATTATGGCAATTTTATAAAAACTAAGCTGAACTTTCAATTATGTTGAAAAGAGTTTCCAATTCTGGAGCTGCTAAAGGATCTACAAAGCGAAACTATGTTACGATGTCCATTAAACAAAAAATGGATAAAGACATATCCGTCTCAAAATTATGCAAAGAGTATGGCATTGGAAATTCAACTGTACATGAAATAAGCAAAAAGAAAAAGAACTTTTTGAATTTTTTATGGAAGCAAATTAGACAGCTTACACTGAAAGAAATGTTTAATAAAGTAAACAAATAAATATTAAACTTTTTTTTTTGTAAATGTTGATACCCTTTAGATCATAATTGTTCTTTATTTCATAAATTAAGATTTCATATTTTTAATTGTATAATTTCTGCATGCCATCTTACCAGATTTAAATTGATGATCTAATATCCGGAAAAATCCCAAATCCGGAAGCACCAAAGTCCCAACGAGTCCGGATTTCTGACTTTGTACTGTATTTGAGATAAAACTCTATGAACATACAGACTAAAACTTTGTTATAATAACTTGACAAAAAAAAAAAAAAAAAAAATGCAACATATACCATAACTGTTATATGAAGAAGGAAAAACATAATATGTATTAATGTACTTTAAAAAGAAAACACAAAATGGGTTATTAAAAATAAATGACTAGCACTCAAAGAAATAAAACAATAGAAAATTACACAAAAGTTCATTTTTACTGAGGGAATCATAAAGACATAATTATGTTACTTAGGCGCATTCAATTAAAAATTCTGATAAAATTCTCTTCTAAAATAGCATGGCTTAACTGAAACATACAAACCACAGATGAAACTTAAAATATTTCACAAAAGGTAAACTCATCTAATTCACATTTCAAAACAATTTATTTAATTCAAACAGAGTGATATAAAATCACAATATGTAACAACTGTAATAAATCAAGTGTTCATAGAAACTAAATATTAAACTTACAATTTTATCAGATGTATGCCTAAGAACATCAAGTTCATCTTTCATAGATTGTGATTCTTCAGCAAGCCTTTGAAGTTCTTCATTCTAAATTTAAAATTAAAAATTACTGTTATCATATTCCAAACTAACGCAGAGTGCTCTAATTTACACTTTATGATTTCCAAGATACTGCTTCAGTAAGAAAATAACACATACAAAAATTTTATTACTTTTAATTTAGATTTAATATACACTGTGCCCCCTCCCAAAAAAAGACAGTTCTATCTATACAGTTTACTGGGCCATTTGACGAAATTCAAATTACGTGCTCATGTCTCGAAAGTGTGACTTAGAACAGATATTAGATTTACATATAGCATTGTTCTAATATGAGTATTTTGACACAAAATCGGACTTTTTGTGAAATACCATGACACTTTTTTCCATATCTTGATTCTACAACTCAAATTATGCCCAAATATTAAATTTTGTAAAAATTTGATGCGAAATTTACGGAGAAATTCAAAAATTTATCTTGGCGCACTTTTTTTTCACTTTGTGCCAAAACAAATTCACGTGGCAATCTTCTTAATACATGGCAACCTATTTTCCTTTACCTTTTTACGATGTGCATGATCAGAAAAAAAAAGTCACATCGTTCTTACTTTCAAATAATTTTAACAAAGTGCCTAAACCACATTTGATGTTGTCATCACTTTTAACACATATGCTAAATTCTAAAACTCGCTAATGTATAAATTCACCTGTATCTTCAGAAATTTTGAATAAAAAAACTAATTTTTTGCAGGTATGCTTGGAAATACATCTACTTTACAGTCATGGAAAAAATTTTATAGATTACAATTCAAAATTTTTAAACATTATTTAAAAATACAAATTTTAAAAATAAACCATTAAAAATGGGTGAATTTTATTTGAAATGAACCTAAATTTAGAAATGTGAAAGGAAGTATCAAATTAGCTTAATTAAAAAAAAGAGAGAGATTAATAAATATATACCAAATTCATTTAACATGGAGGAGCTAAAATTTTGAGAGCTAATTTTTTTAAAACTACTCGTGCGATTTTTAGAAAACTTGGTAGTTTGGTGTAATTTGTGTCATAAAATTTAAATATTGAAAAAAAAATGTTTATGCTATTTCAGAAAAAAGTCCAATTTTGTGTCAAAATACCTGTATTAGAACAATGCTATATATGAATCTAATACATATCCTAAGTGGCACTTACGAGAGATGAAAAATGCAAAAATTTAATCATGACAGATAGATAGCAAACTACATGACTGAAGGAAGACAAATGAGGACAGATGAGCCAGTGAGGAACACAAAGATGGGCATGATAGACGCTGAGCATAGATGGAACGATGGACTTCTCTTCAATATACTTCTCACACTGTATATATTATTTTATTCCAGTTTCATATGTGTTATTTTCTGAAAAACATCATTAAAACTCAGTTAATTATTCATTTGGATTTTGTGCATGCATTCCTCTAGACACTGAAAGGTAAAGGCCCATTTCCACTACTGCGTACGAACTCGTTGCGTCAACTGAAGACACACCTACAGCATCCGCACAAGCGTTTCCACTGCTGCGTATCCGTAGATTATTTTCATTTTCTGCCGCTAGTTGTCACTGTAATATTTTGGCACCAAACAAGCAGTTCACGAGTTATGATGCTGAACGTCTGAATTTTTCTTGCTTAAGCAAGTATTGTTTGTTTTTGATTTGATATGGATCCTGACGTAAAACGCAGAAAAGTTTTCTTTACTAAATTCCATGTTATTGAAAATTTTTATTTCTGCTTATGAACTGTGAAAGTAAAGTACGGTAGCAATTTTAAGATAAGTAAGGTTATAATGCATATTATGAACATCACTAATTGCATAGAAGCTGAAGTAAATTTTAAAAATTTCTTTGCATTTCTAGAAGCCTTTAATATTAATGAAATAATATATATACATACTTGCCAACCTATGACACTCAAAAATCAGGAGATTTTTTTTTTAAGAAATCAGGAGATTTTTCACAATGTTAAAAAGACTTTTTTAAATGATAAAAATATAGTTTTTAATAATGAATTAACTTTAAATAGTTACTAAGTCTTAATGCAAGCAAAACAAAAATACCTTAGACAAAAAAACATTTTATTTACTTTCATCGTTTAAAAAAAAAAAAAAAAGGCACTTTAATCAGTTTTCATACAAATGTTATGGACAGTGGCAGATTTTGCTCTCGTTAAGAAAGAAATTTCATAATTTTGTTCATAGCAATTGCCACGTAGGCCTGCTTTCGCTAATAGAAGTTTTTCTAATGTGTCATCACTAATATTAGGTCTAAATTTAGTCCTCGTTTTTGCAACAACACTGAAAATCCTCTCACACTCAACATTACTATGGGAAACTGTCAAGATGGCCAACATAATTCTAGAGAGTTCACTATATTTTAAAATTCCATCAGCACCTTTCAATTTTCCAATTAACCTCCACTGGGTGTCAATCCTAGCTGATTTTATAACTTAATCCAAGTTTTCTAATTGTAAACTGCAAAATTGCGACTGCAGTATATCAGTAGCAACATCAATATCATCATCTTTCATGACTAAACGAAGTTCAACACAGGAAATCTGTTCAAAAAGTACCTTATATCAAGAAAAAGATGCATTTGCTAGAGCAAGAAACATCACAACTTTAGCATGCAAAATCACTTCATCGTTGACTGGAAATTTATGTAGTATGTAATCACATACTCGACAGAAGTAACTTCTAACATGAAGATAAAACTTATTTTTGTCTTTTTCTGAAAGTTCTTTTCCACTACTTTTGTAGTTACAGCTCCTATTACCAAATCTTCATCTTCCTTCTGATTTTCTGTTTCACCATAAATCACATCATATATAGAATTACAAGACAAAACACAGACTGGTTTTACAAACTTTGATAAAATGTCTTTAAACAGATCATAAATCATTGATTGCAAAACATGAATTAATGGAATTCTGCTTTGTAGAATTGTGTTCAGAACATCGAATGATGGCAAAATGAATTGTAAAAAAAAAAAGCAAAAAGCTTTGTTAAGGTCCAAAGAAAAAACCATAAATATTCGTTCTTCACAAGATAAACTTACAGTAATCGGAAAATGTTTCGTGTGTTGAGCAAATTTTTTTTTTTTTTATTTTTTTTTTTTTTTTAATTTTATTTTGAGAGAAATTTGTATCAGCTTTACGCTTATATTTTGCAGTATTATTTTGAGAACTGCCAGTTGAATTGCTGAATGATGCAGAAATTACAAAAAATCAAAATTTTTCTCATTTCAGTATTATGCAGCTATTGGAACTGTTTCAATTTTTCCTTTCTTTTAGAACTCCTTTCAAGATAATAATAAATATCAACAATGTGTTCATCCACATTTAATGGTAAAGAAGCTGCCCCTTTTTCAGCTGCTAAATTTAAGAGGTGACAGGTGCACCTCATAATCTGCAAATCTGAATTTGCCTTTCTTAAGATGCCTGCAACACCAGTCTTCAAGCCTACCATTACTGGTGCATTATCGGCACCAAGCGCTAAGCAATTATCCAGAGGGACTGCATTTTATTTTAAAGTTTTAATAATTAGCTGTGCTATATTAAAGCCTGTCGAATGTCCTTCTAAAGTGGGGTCAGAAAGTAAACTGCACTCAATTTCTGAAGATTCTGGATTAAAAAAAAGAAACAACAATTGGATACAGTTTTGAATTGGTATTATTGCTTCCATCCGTAGAGAGGCAGAACGGAGCTGTTTTAATGCAATCAATAACTGAAGATTTATTTTTCAAACCCATTTCTTTAACAACTGCACCTGTTTTGGTCCTTGCACTTGAGTATTTCTTAGCGATTTCACTATCGGGAAACATTTTTCTAAATAAAGCTGCAGCGTGATCCGATGCATTCAGTGGCAAGTTGTGCTCTAGTAAAAAGGCAGAGAACAGACATTCTGCATTAATCACTTTTTGGTTTTTTGTTTCCGAAGAAAAATTTAATTTTTCATTTTTTCAAAACAACTCATGTTGTCCTTGTGTTTTTGTGTACGCACATGTTTGAGAACATCTGCCCTTCCACGAAGCGAAATCGAAAAATCGCAACGACAGATGGTACACATCGCAAATTTATTACATTTCCTTGAAGAAATAATGGAAGGAAAGTCAACTGTGTACGATTTTTGAAACGTGCACGAGTATTTCACCTTTCTCGCAGACATATCAAAAGACGATAATTTCTAAAACTATTTCCTAAAGGCACGTACGTGTACTCACACAACTACACAACTCAGGACAAGATAAACGAAATAGCGAATAGCGAAAGAACATCCAAAGAACGGCCAACGACCTTGAGCTTGCTTTGTGCTCATTGGCTAATATATGCCAGATGACACGCAGTGGAGCTCGATGCCCATTGGACAACTGGAGAACGACGTTGCTGGATACGTATGCTGTCAATCACAAAGCAGAAATTCTCATCCGATTCGCAAGGTTTCATTTTAGATATAATCTAGAGAAAATTCAGTTGCTTTCAGACGTCCAAAATCACCTTTTTTTTTTTTTTTTTTTTTTTTTTTTTGTTCATAAAACGAAGTATTAAGCCAAGTTCCATAAAAATCGTGAGAAATATTAAGAATAAAAAAAAGTCGGGAGAAATATATTGTAAATCGGGTTGGCGGGAGAGCGGTCGAAAATCGGGAGTCTCCCGCCTAAATCGGGAGAGTTGGCAACTCTTTATATATAATTAAAACTAAATGTACTGTTACTGAAAAAATAAACAAATAAATAAATAAAATAAAAATGTTAAAAGAATTAAAAAATAGTTGGTACTTTAAAAATACAGAGCAACTGTAAAGAAATGTTCACAATATTTATACAAAATTTGCTTTGCTTGTATACCACTGACTTCAGGGTCATAGCTAGATAATTTATTAGAAATCTCGTTTGTTTTAAAATGAACTATGGGCAGTTATATTTTATGCATAATCCATAAAATATTATTTTTAATTTAAAAATTTTTAATTCATATCTCTTTTTATAGAAGTTATAAACATAAGCTTTTTCTCTTT